TGGTTGTTTATTTCGCATGCGAATGTAATAAAATCTGTTGTTTATCATTTACCTGGTGAACAATTCGTTCATGTTCACTTTCTTTTGTTTGATATTGTTTTAATATTTAATCAGCCGATTCATCTGTTTATGTTTTGTTTTGATTACGCTTTAACTTAAATATTTATGCTTAGCTTTGAGTTATGACTAGTTGCATGGTTATTTATGGCATTTTCTATTTCCTCCAACCCTCACGTTTACATTCATCCCATGTGCACTGTACGTTTGTTTTTTTCCGACTGTTAGTTTGTTTACTGTTGAGTTGACATTTCGGTTTTGTTTTGTCAATGCATCTCCGTATAAGCCCCCGACTGCGGAAGATGCCTGTATAATTGACTATTGTGTATTACATAGCTACATGTTTGATCTTATTAATACTATTCTTTATGTAATGGCATTGTTTCAGTGTATTTTAATAAAACATGGAAATAAATGTTGATTGAATTGAAATTACATAACATTTTGAAGCCTTTGTAATGTATGCCTATGTAATTCATGAACATAAACATTATAATTGTCAAACCTGTACAAGAATTATGAAACAATGGACACAGATTCTGCCAAATAAAAAATGTGGTGGCCAAAAAAGTGGGGCCAAAAATTAAAGGCGTGGGGTTCGGGGCCCGCTTAAGGGCCCAGATATTTCTTGCGATTCTATATGCTCTGTAGTGCGATCTAAAGGCAATTTCCTTTGCGCGACATCATTTTAAAAAAAAAGCATTTTTTTGGCCCCCCCCCTCCGCCGTTGGGTTGGTTCCTTGGATGTGGTGTAACTCCCCGCTGTCTGTTCTTCTCTCAATTGTCAACAAGTTCTCAGATGTTCATACAATTCACCTGAACCAGTACACAGTAAAATTGAATAATTGTAAAACATTATCCTTTCGTCGTTTCAAGACTCAAAATGCAAGTTGTTTTCACAAAATCTGTGTCCATTGTTTCATAATTCTTATAAAGGTTTGACATTTTATGTTCATGATTACATAGACCTACATTACAAAGACTACAGAATGTTATGTAATTTCAATTCAATCAACATTTATTTCCATAATGCCACACGTTATATTATGATACAATGAAACAATGCCATTTAATAAAGAATAGTTTTAATAAGATCAAACATGTGGCTATGTAATACACAATAGGCAATAATGTATTATACAGGCATCTTCCGAAGCCGGGGGCTTATACAGAGATACCTTGACAAAACCGTACCGAGATGTCAACTCAACAGTAAACAGACTAACAATCGCACAAACAAAAGTACAGTGCACATGGGATGAATGTAAACGTGAGGGCTGGGGGAAATAGAAACTGCCATAAATAACCATGCAACTAGTCATAACTCAAGGCTATAAGCATAAATATTGAATTAAAAGCGTGATCGAAACAAAAACATAAACTGCTGTTTCGATAGTTTTGTTATTGAATGTTTATATGCCATGTAAGACTGATAAGACGTCCGGTAGAGTGATCAGGACCAATACAGTTCTGTAGATATTGGCCTTCAAAATTTTCATCTATAGTACATCCAAAGTTTCAACCCCATTGGCCTTCCAAATTTGCACTTTTAATGTGACGTCACAAGTCACGTGATGACGTCATCGTGACGTCACTTGAATTTTCATCTATAAAACAACCCGATTTAGGTACATACCAAGTTTCAACCCAATCAGACCGGTAGTTCTGTAGATATTGGCCTTCAAAATATGCACTTTTAATATGACGTCACATGCCACGTTGATGACGTCATCATGACGTCACTGGAATTTTCATCTATAACACATGCGGTTGAAAGATTTAGTCCATCATTTTAATCTGTCCATTGTGTTCGTTTGAAGCAACAAATGTGTTCAAAATCTAATGAAGGATACTGAACAACTAACCTGATGAAGATTCAGCTAAGCTTCAGCTGTATATTCCGAGAAAAACAGCATTCTTAGGATCTCAATTTCAAATCAAAAGTTACTGAATCATGTTTTAAATTGTTTTTAATCAGGGAATAAATGTGTGCTCGAGAGGTTTTTATCACTCCGTTTAAGACCGCTTAGAGTCTGGGTGCTGATAATTACCCGAGCAGGAGGCGAGGGTAATTATCAGCACCCAGACTCTAAGCGGTCTTAAACGGAGTGATAAATACCGACCGAGCACATATTTATTCCTATTCATAAATACCTTTTCGGTTAAAAAATATCAAATAATTCGTTCAAAAAATCCCGATTTTGTTCAACAAGTTCACTTCATGCTTTTTGAAACATCCCTCTGGCAAAATAATGGAGTGTTCAGTTGGCGAGTAAGATGTAAACAACCCTTTTATGGCGATTGACGCGCGCGTGGCATGTTCTGCGCGATGTCGCGCAGAACGCACCTGGGGCGTTGCGTTTGGAATTTTGAACTCTAAAATGTTGACTCACTGGTAGTGTTGCGCATCCGTGAGGATTGTGAACGTTCAACCAATGAAACGGTAAGAGGCACTGGATTTTTAGGAGTCCACATTTTATTGTGACACTGGAAAAGTGTTTAAGACCAGCTAGCCATGTCTTTATCATCCGTTTAAGACCGGCCACGTGCCGGGCTCTCGACCAATAGGAATAGCTAAACTGTCTGAGGTATTTATGAATTGCAGATATACGCGACGTCGCGCACTGATCCGACGAATTATAGCAACCGCGCGCGCGTGTGCGTCGTACCAACGCTTGAACGCACTTCGCCGAATAACAAAACGAACTACTAATTTAAATTTTCCTACGATGCGCCTTAAGACGCACCGTTGGAAAGGCCTTCTTTCGTAGCATTCAAAAATTTCAAAGGATTGTCTAAGGGGCGTGGCTAACTTGCGATCGGCGACAGGTCAATTAATTACTTCACATTGATAACTGTGGTATCTCAACGTTTCGGTCAATATGCTCTTACCGTCTTCGGGAAAATTATGAACTAGGAATGATTCTCTAGTCTTGGTTGAAACGTCTTGTTGTGATCAGTAAAACTCACTTCACATGCGGTATAACCAAGAACATTTATCCTGTACATGTACTCCCATCATGTAAGCCTACAACTGAATGAATTTTTAGGGGTACAGTTTAGAGATAATTACTTTATTACTCAAATAATAAGTCCTTATAGTGGGGCAGATATGGGAAATATTTGGGGGAATTGACCATTTGATGATACGGAACGTCTCTATAGTCCGACGTCCCATTTGTCTATACGTCCCATTGGTCTATACGTTCCATTGGTCTGACGCCTCATTCGGGGTTAGGGGTTAGGGTTTGGGGTTAGGGTCAGTCAACCTTAACCAGTGGAACTAAATACATAATTAGATTTGGCAAAAACGTCAAATCTTATATTTCCTCCAAATTTTCCTGCGTTATCGGCTTTTATTCATGATGAATCAATAATTACATTCAAAGTAGCAAAACGATAGCGGTTTTTTTTAACAGTGTTATGTCCGTTCCGATTAATATACACATCATTCGCAGTTATGACCTAATTTTATTCATTATATTTTAACAAGAAACTATTAAATGAAAATATAACAACACAAAATTCAAAGCAGTTTCACAGTCATGACAGTCCTAAATAGGAACAGAAGGAATAAAATAATGTGCGATAAGACAGTTATAGACTGTAATGACCCCCGCATTATTTAGGGAAGCCAAGGGAAGTGCAAATGTTACCAACCTGTACGGAGAGACCACCAAAGACCATATTTACCGTTTCCCTTGAGCGATCTCTCTGTACAGGTTTGACTGTACATATCGAGTGTAATGGTCTTACCAAATTAGCATGCACGACAAAATGAAAACTGCATCTGACTTTACATTCTTGCATAATAAACTCTGGTATTAAAGGGGAACTAGGTCCTGAAATCCCCGAAAATTTTATGTTTTGGATTGTTTACTAAGCCTATTTCAAACATCTGGTTGAAAGGAAACCAACCTAATGTCTTACCGTTCCCGAGAAAAGACGAAAAAAAACTCGCTTGTTTACATCGGACATGACGGAGTACGAATACGTTTTTCGTGTCGTTCTCAGTGTACGCTATACACGTTGTGTGTCTCGGGAACAGCACGCGGTGACCAATCACCAATGCAAAACAGTGTGGTTCCTTCAACGTCCGCAAAAGGCGAACACTTTATGCATACGAATGAAATCACAACTAGCAAAAGTGGACCCCGAAAGTCGTTCTCGCATGCATAATATAGGAATAACACAAAAACGCCCAGTTTTTAAGGGATAGTTGTGTGGATGTTTATATCCTACTTTTAAATGTTATTCCCGATTATCATCATCTCGTTCAAAGCGCGTTTTGTAGCCCAATTGGGCTGTTCCAGGACCTAGTGTCCCTTTAAGCATTTACAAATGTACACATTTTAGTATATACATGTATTATCTGGGGTATATTGTTCAATGGCTCATAGGTGCAACGGCTCAATAATATTACAAACCAACGTTAATATCTGCCCTCACAGGCATATCATAATACTCCTGGTAAACATTTTGCGACAAAATATCTTGCCTATAAATGACCTGCCATTTTCTTCCCAAAGGCTCGCCTCGAAGTAAAAATCCTCACGATTGTCCAACAATGTTCCTCAATTACTATTAGTAATAACATTAGATCAAGACACCCTACATATCGACCTATAACTGTGCATGTATAGCGGGACTTTTGATTCCAGGGTGAGTCAAAAAGAAAGTGACAAGTTATGTCTATCTTAATAAAAAGAACACAAAAGTCAGCTGTCCACCACTGATCATTTACCGTTCTACGAACTGATGAATACCCATTAAATACAATGGAACATGGACGAATTCCCACCTCCACGAATGAACGAAAACGTGCACATGTAAACCATAGGTGAGTACTAGCTCTATGGGTCAACAGACAAAAATTACCATCAATATTTTATACGGAAAAAAAGGACTTGTTCCTCATATTGAAATCACAAAATCGGACAGTCTTGACTCAATGATTAAAATCTCATTTGTATTCAAATGTTTGTAATCCGTAATTCTCTTCAGATTGGCCTATGCCCTTCGATAAAATTGTGTGTTACATAATGCAGTTACGCTTTGTAACAGCAGGTCATCAGGGCTTTCAACGCGTCAGACGGCTCTTCAATCTGCGAGTATCTGCACTGCAGCATCCGGCGCAAAACCTTCTTGAACTGTGGATGCTTGGACGCATAGATGAACGGGTTGATGCAGCTGTTGCAGGTGAAGACCACGCCCAGGAACAGCAGGTAGCGATCGTTGTTGGGGATGAACAGCGCCACGCTGTACGGAGTGACGCAAACGACGAAAGCACAGACGGTCATGAAGAGATTCTTGGTGATTTGGAGCTGTTGGTGGTAGGCTCGACCCTGTTGAGAGGTCTTCAAGACAGCCGCGTTGTCGGATACCTGGAAGCTGCTTGAGCTAGAGACCGGGCCTGTTCCGCTGGTGCTGATGCCACCACGCAAGGACCTCTGGGCCTTGAAGTGGCGCCGGACGTGTAGGTAGATGATGGTGTAAGAGGTGACGATGATGATCAGTGGGATGGGATAGAAGAGGAAGGTTTGGATCCTCTCGAATGACTTGGCCTTGGGATGGGTGTCCAGGTCGCTGCAGGTGTGATGCTGCTCGTCGTAGCCGAAGCCGCCGACGCCACAGAGAGGTGGCACGACCATTATGGCGATGGCAACGAACCACAAGACTGCCACGTTGATGGCCAAGTTGCGCCGGGTGTAGAGACTACGATATGTCATTGGGCGCTTGATGAGGATCAGCCTGTTGAGAGCGATGGAGGCCAGGTTGTAGAGACTAGCGCAGGAGCTGATGAACAGAAGCATGCCGGCCAGGTAGCACGGTGTCTCGGTGGACCACGGCCAAGTGTCTCCTGGGCTGAGCAGGCCGACGGCGCTCATGGGTAGCGCCAGGCCGGTCAGCAGGTCGGCCACGCTGAGACTGACCACGAAGACGTTGGTGAACGTGCGGAGCTTCTTGCTGAACACCACGGCGAGGATGACCATGGTGTTACCGATGATATCAATCAGAGCGATCAGGAGCCACAGTACGGCGATTGCTACCCTCTCTGGGTATGTCTGTAGGGATTTACTCATCGGCGCTGCTTCGGTACTCGCTGCCGTGAAGGTTGAGTTGTCCATCCAGGGAATTGACGACGAAGAGTCGTCAACACCTGCAGGTGAAGTATCGTTGGTAAACACCATCGTTGCGTCGCTCGTGCCCATTTTGCTCTTTGTTTTTGGATGTGCTACAGCCTGTGAGGAAAGAGAGTGACGTTTTGGGAAAAGGAGTTTCAGGGTTACACTGCAGTGTTTACACAACATGTTTTGATAACGCAATACAGACTTTCGGAAAAGTGTCCCACTGCACTGAATTTTAAAAAGAATTTAGAAAGTCAGTGGCGTATTCAGCTTATGATGTCGGGGGGGGGGGGGGGGGGGAGGGAGGAAACCGCAGTCGCACATCTGCTCCGAAATGTAGACATGATTTTTCTCCAGACACTTGGCCTCCGTAAAATCAAAAAGCGGGAGGGGGAGGGGGAGGGGGAGGGCTGGTTTCCATCTTCCAAAATGGGAGGGCTCTTCAAAACTTACCATTATTAGGCATTCTGGAAAATAAATGCCGATGTTCACCGCGCATTGTAATGGTTTTGGAGCTTGGTTGTATTTCTTTTCTTTTTTTTTCATGTCAGAACTCTCAAACCATTAATGGAAATAGTTACTTAACAAATATCATTCCCAAAAATCCTCGGGGGGGGGGGCAAACCCCTGCCCCCCTCTGGAAAGTTGATGTGTTTGTTTCACATATAGGCTACGTCATGCCTAACGGCATCATTTCACATTTGGCATGATCTATTCGACAAAAACAAATTAGGTGAGAACCCCGATACGATTTCCATTGCAGTGAGATTTGATTACATTTCATGTTTGGTATCTTTTACCACGACCAATCAAACAAAGAATGATTTGCTAACTACACTCCTGGCCAAATCTCGCTGGGCCCCCAACCCCCCGGCCCCCTGTCAATGTTGTCTCTCATTGCGCGGTGTGTGCTCCATCAGCTGGAGAGAACAACATTGACCGTGGGAGCGGGGGAGTGGGTGACCGTGGCAGGCTAAGGTTATTTCCAAGTGTCCCAGCCATTTTGGCCGGAATTGTAGCTTCAACTACTACAGTCAAGTTGACTTTTTTGTGGAGTTTAAAAACAGTCGCAAAGGAATAGTTCTACTCACTCCGATTAAGGTTGCATTGTTATTCAGCATAAACGAAATTAATCCCAGCAAAAAGCTATTCAGGAGACGGGACCTCTTCGAATGTCACTGTTGCAATGCATTGTTTATGGCCAAAATTGCAGCACTCCCATCTTGGGGAACAATGTTTGTATATAGCCTTTTCTCTCGCGCTGTTCCAAGACAGAAATGGTAAAAGGACTGTGAATAAACTTGGGTATAGCATTACGTGCAGTAATACATTTTCTCATTAGTTGGTTAATTCTGTTAAAATAAATATGACAATTTTTGAGAAGATATTGACCAAAAGTGTATGTAAAGGCACTTCATACGCTGACTGATATCGGGCAAAATACCAACCCATTCGCCTAAAATGTGTTTCAGTGAGGAAAGCAAAGTGTTCCTTGTCAGTCAGTTCCATGAAGGCATCGCATAATCAGCCTAATGAAACAACGCCTCGTTTATACTTGTCAAGTGGTTCATATAACAATACAGATTAACCAAAACAACTTGGTTTGACTGAAATTTGACTTAAACATTTTGCACACTTACCGAGTTGTAGAGCGAGACAACAAAGATGTAGTCACTGCTTGAAATAAAGTTTTGAAATTATCAAGCAAAATTCCCAGAATGAGGACTGAGGTGCAGCGCTGGAGTAATTATTCCACTTGTGTCTTCAACAGTAATAATGCGTTGTGGAGAGATGATTTTTCTTTACGGATACCAGAAGGCAAGAGCTGTGTACAGAGCGGATATACCCGTGATCCTGTGCAGCAACAGGAGTGCGGAACAACCCGTGTTCATTGAAATTATATCGGCTGACTATTATTCTTGGCAATGGCATTGCTCAATCACACTGAGTGCGTTCGATTACTTCCCCCAGCTTACTCGCCCCTGGCCGGCTCCTCGCGTGATGACAGACATGCCCAGTGGAGCTAACTAAACGAACGGTTTCGGGTAAACTTTCGCGCAAGAGCTAGAAACATGGCGTCGCCAGGATTTGTTCTAGAGGGGGTAAAACATATTTTCCCAAGTTTCGTGCAAGAAGTTGAACTGGAAAGTTGAACTTTGACATGACACACCTGCATCCGAATTAATTGTCTAGAGCTAGGTCTAGGTCCACACCCATTGAAAATACTGACGCGGGGACGCGCTGACAATAGACCCGTAGCCGTAGTTCTGGAAGCCCGCCGGACACGGCCCGATGAGGCGCTCGCCGGACGTCACGTTGGCAGCCATGTTTATTGCATGGCCTTATGGGATACTTACCCAAGTAACCGGCTCGGCGAGCCGGTTACTTGGGCCAGGCTCGAGTGAGCACGAGAAGTCACGTGAGAGTTAAATCGAACGCTGTCGCGCTTGCACGAGTAAGTGCGGGGGAAGTAATCGAACGCACCCATTGAGTGCGTTCGATTACTTCCCCCAGATTACTCGCGCCTGGCTCCTCGCGTGATGACAGACATGCGTAGTGGAGCTAATTAAACGAACGGTTTCAGGTAAAGTTTCGTGCAAGAGCTGGAAACATGGGCGTCGCCAGGATTTGTTCTAGAGGGGGTAAAACATATTTTCCCAAAAATTCCTGTGTTTCTCAACATATTCTCGATTAATCAGTTTTAGAGGGGGGCAGGGACATCCCCCCCTTTTTTTGTGGCTTTTCCGGGGGGGGGGGGGTTGCGCCCCCTTACCCCTCGCGACGCCCATGCCTGGAAAGTTGAAACACAGGGTTTGTAGCTCTATGCTCCGTGGAAGCCCGTTTCGGACACGGCCTGAGCCGAGGCGCCCGCCGGACGTTGCATGGCCTTATGGGATACTTACCCAAGTAACCGGCTCAGCGAGTCGGTTACTTTGGCCAGGGCCTGCTCGAGTAAGCGCGAGAAGTCACGTGAGAGGTAAATCGAACGCTGTCGCGCTTGCACGAGTAAGCGCGGGGGAAGTAATCGAACGCACTCATTGTGTGGTTGGATTGAGCGGTATATTGGGCTCTCGAGATCGCCCAACCTTCCTCTCGCTTAAAAAAAATTACCCAAAAACTTGATTGACAGTCAACGAAACAGTGACACGGGATACTTATAGCACGTTATATAGCACAGTCATCTTGATATGATAACTATGTCATGCCATCAAATATTTGACTCTCTTGAGAAAAGAAATACTATAAGATGTAATCTGTATCAAGTTTATTAAGCGCATAACGGCCACCATTGGACGTAATTTCATTCACTGTTACAGTAATGTATTTTTCTCCATTTACCGTCTCCACATAAATGTGATATATTTGTTTATAAATGGACTTGTGCTCGGTTTCGTTTTTTTTGCGATGAATACACTGTATTTTCTTCAATCATATTATTTTTTCCCAACGGTTCTCGTACATTTTTAAACCCGTCGTGTCATAATCACGACCAATCATTTGACGAAATTTCAATTCAATGCAATGTGTTTTTCTTGATTTATCGTCTCCACAACGAATGTTTTATTTATGTGCAATTAAAATTGACTTGTGTTCGGATTGATTTCTTTCGCGATTAATACACTGTATTTTCTTTAAATCATATTAAATTGATTCTTCAACGATTCCCGTCAATTTCTAAACATGTTGTGTCATATATCACGACCAATCATTGGACGATTGCAATAGACCATTCTTGGGATATCGTTTCCACAAAGAGTGTTTTATTTTTATTCAATCAAAGCTGACTTCGGTTGCTGGGCAGATCGTGATCAGCGTTGACAGAGGTCTTTACGGTGAAGACCAGTATTTGTATAGCGCGCCCTCTTTGGACGAAATTGTTGTTGGCAAATTATACGGGAGAGCCCTTACACACTGTAGTTTTTGTTTTCGTTGTACATGTATTAGTTTGTTTCGTCAACGTTTTCTGTCGAATTTCAATTTTGCGTGTGTCATATATCCCGACCAATTATTGAACGAAATTTTAATCGAATGTAAAAATAAGTATGCGATTGCGTATGCCTCAATGACCGCCGCGTCCGACTTAAACGACCCAGCTGGTTTTTCGTCTTTTCTCGGAACGGTAAGACATCATCAGGTAAGTTCCTTTTCAAGCAGTAAAGAATCCGAAACATGAATTTGTCGAGGATTTCAGGCCGTAATGCCCCTTTAATCAGCTAAACAAAAACAAAATTAGCGACCAAACCCTCCCCATCTGTGCAAGTTACCGAGAAAAGACACAGTTACGCACGAGTAACTTTTTGATCCATCTCTTTTATAATAAAATATGCAACAAGAGCTCTATAGCTGGTTTGATTTTGCATATGTCGTCAGGAACGTCTAATGATCGCCAAAATGGCAGCGGGGTTTGATAATCAGAATAGCAACACTTGAATATTGGCAGGTCTATCTCTTCGAGAAGGGGGGGGGGAGGGTGTTGGGTAATATTGAAGCTTCGAGGAAGATTACATACGAATGACTTTAACTAAATGTTTTGACATTAGGATTTGACATAAGACTGACTGAACATGAATCTGACAAAACTATGCACTAAAATAAATATTACAACCATTTTTAACTGATAAAAGACTTGAGAAACACTTTGCTTTCAATCAATAAAAAAAATACAAAAATACAAACAAACAAAAACACCCACGTAGTGGTCGAGGACACCAATGCATAGTTTGTATGGTTTCCCCATCTTTCGCACAGGGAAAACACAGTAGTATTGGATCAGCACCAGTCTCAAATTCACGAGCAACAGATGCCGCAACAGCATGGATTCTAGAATACTTCGACGGAGTAGTCCCTGGGTAGTGGGGTGAGTTTATGCTCTATAAGCGTCGCATTGACTTGTTTAATGTTTTCATCCACTAATGCCCGCACGTCGGTCGGGAACGGGTTCTTGGTTAGGTACACGCGAGTTTTCCTCCCGTGGTTGCCCAGGGCAACGCCGGTGGCCTTGGACGACGGGTACTCCTGGATGGCGCAGAGAATGCGCTGCTTCTGCACGGAGACGTCCAGGAACCGCACGATCCTGGCCAGCTCCTCGTACGTGTTCTCCTGCAGGTTCTCGTAGTGCGCCACGTGAATTCGGCGAGAGTTGGTGATCCACCGGACGGCCATGTTGCGCCAGCTCTGGGCCTGGTTCTCGGCGAATCGTCTCCATTCTGTGCAAAGAACCAAAACCGATCATATACGGGAAGAAAAATATTGGCGGATAACCCGACTCGTCCGGTTCCCTGACCAGACGATTCCCTCACGCATAGTTTTCTTCTGCAGGCAAGTAAAGTCATTTAAATAATAAATCATATATGATTTGATATAACGTTGGAATTTCCAGAGAAAATCGTAGTATGCCTACTACCAGGTTGTGCCAGTGGTCTTTATGCTGGATGCATTGTGTTCGATTCCCAGAAATTTTACATCTTTTTCCCCCCAGAAGTCATGGTTCTGGAGAATTTGTTTTAGGGAAGTCAAGTCAGAAAACCATTCCGTTACCAAATGAGAAACGCGCATAATGTCACTGAACTTGGTTGAACACAAAAGTGACTGCTTCTGTCAAGTCGCATAAAAGTTTGTTTTTTAATGCAGGCTTATTTGGCTCCTACTATGGTTCTGAAGGTCTTCACTGTTCCCTACTAACAGGCTTTAAAACATACGAACAACATGTTCTGTCCTCTGTTCCGTTCCGTTACCAATGCACTGCTGGTGTTTCTGGCCTCAGATAATTGGTTTTGTACAAGTATTATTTTATGCAAACATTCCTAATGGGTTTACATGTACATCTATTTCGGTCTCGCTGCGTTTTATTTATTTATTCTTTTTTGCATAGGGGTAAGCCACCACAACGATGATCTTACCTTGTGAATCGAAGTACTTGACTGTTTCATCGGCCGACTTTTCCTGGTCCAGCATCTGCCTGCGGAATATCTCGGCCACGAGGGCGCTGTATGGGTTGCGGATGAGGAGAACAGCGCCCTCGAACGTCTTGATGTGGGCAGGGTCGCTCAGGTGGGACTTGACGCATATCGTCTGTTTGCTTTGGTAATCGACGTTGCCACCTGGAAAAACTGAGGGAGGGAGAGAAGTCCGAAAAAGGATGTCACAACCGAAATGTGGAAGGCACCTTGTGCTCAATGAGCTAGGATAACATCTCTCGAATGTTCAAAGACTCAGAAAAATTTTAACCTGCCAAGCAGTCTTCTTTATTCTGATTCCTGACTTCCACTTGATTGCCACGCCCCTTTTAAAAGAAATTACTGGCACGCCCATTATATAGTTGATGCCTACTTTTGCTGGAGATGGCCATGTCTTTCTCGTGTTTCCAATGGACGCTGCCGGTCAGGAGCCCTGTCCCCCGCTCGATGAGTTGTCGTGTCCAGGTGTTGCCAGAGCGGGGGTAGCTGGCTAGTGCGATTAGCGGCAGGCTGCCTGCGGGTTTCAGTTCGATTCGTGAACATCGGGGATCTGTCCATGAAAAGAGCAATGAATCCGTTTAGGTTACAGTTTTAAACTAGAAAGCACTCAGAGAGCGCAAACCTCCGCCTAGGCTAAACACTTCCCCGCCATATTGTCAGTACAATACTCGCATAAATGGTGAAGAATCCTTAAAACACTCCTGGATCCAGACCGACATCCGAATCACTTCCAAAATCTAGTCGATTTGTACTTGTACCAAAGACCACCCTTACTTTTTTTTTTCATGCAAATCCGTCCATAACTTTTTGAGTTATTTTGTCAACAGACATGCCAACCAACCAACAAACTAACCAAATTCGATGAAAACATAATCTCCTTGGCGGGGGTAATAAATATGTGTTGTAACACGGTCTGTGCATCTGACTAGTCCCCATGTGTTAAAATAACCAAAAGCTATAAAGGTGAAAATGCTACATTTCATTACTGGTCCTGAAAGAAGAATGAAACAGAATCCCATGCCGAAGCCGAAACTCTTTGTCATTTCAGATTTCCGAGAAAGGCTTGAAACCCACCGGTTCTTTTCAGAACAACACAATCATCTTTCCAAACGAGATTTCTACGTTGGTGTTACCGCAAACTCTCACTACTTCATACCACCACCCATGCAAAGTTTCAAATCTAACGCACCCATTTCTCTGACGCTATTTTATCGTGTTATGCAATGACAAATTTTGGTTGGTGATTTTCACATGCGTTTTATTATTATGGTTGGAATTCTAACGACGGATTTCGCAGTCTAACGTAATCGGTGATTGAAAGTTGGAAAGTTTCTTTTTATTGTTTTTATAAATTAAACGCGAAGTGTAAAGTTTCCCATCTTTTTAATTACTTTTGTTCAGGTCACTCCAGTAAGTAAGCAGTTTTTTTTCTGTCTCAATGTTCCAAAGAATAACAAAAACTTTTTAACAGTTTCACAATACAACAGCTTCAGAACAGACATTGACCTTTCTAATTGTTGCCGTAAGCCCCGCCCAGCTTTGTTTTGTATACATTTCTCACTGTCATTGACCAATGACGGGGGAGTTTCACCGAGCTACTGTGGTCACGTGACAAACAGTCGTGATCTAATTGGTCAATGCGCTGTTTGATTGACAGACAGGAAGGGTTCATTGTTCATCCCTGGGAGTTTATTCGGCAAAATGGTGCCCCCTGTTGTTGTTTTTTTTGTTTTTTTTGTTTAAATACCTGGCACAGAAGTCCGGTACAGTGACATGTACTCCCTGCCGCCACAGTGGTACCTGGGCTCGCCCGGGCACGGCAAGTCGCAGAGGGCGCTCTCCATGTATTTCAGCAAAGGAGACTCGCCCTTGACGTCGCTGCAGTAGCACTCTGTGCCGTGGCTGAGGGCGGCATAGGTAAAACCCTGGGAGGAAAAAGTAGGTTGGAATGTCTGAAGCCAATCAAAGGCGAGTATAAAACAAGAGGAGAGACAAGCAAAATGAGACTATCGCATTGGTTTGAGTAACAACTGTGAATCCTGAACGAAAAAGTTATCCACATACCGCAGTGGGAGAATTTTGAATGAAGATAACTGTACAATATCAGAAATGCTTGAAACTTGCCTTCGTGCAGACACTGTGGCGATTTTGCCTGTTGGTTATGGGAAGAGTCGGTTCATTGATTTCAATAATCAATAAATTGTGCCAGTCATTTGTGTTCACCTGTCATCCACGAGCAAGGCTGTAAACATCATTTTCAAAGGTAAAAAGAATCATACGGCGCACGCGCTCATGCGATCCAATCAATGGCTTTGAAATGGGAACTAGCGACCAGTCCCTATATTATGGGAGCGGGAACCAGTCTAAGGTGGTTTAAGGTAAAACAAAAAACAAACTAATTTTCTTTCTCTGCTTCCTTGTCATAGCCTCCGTCAAACTTTGATGTGTGTCTATTTCTCACAGCACCCATAAACGAGTTTCACTCAGCCACTGTGTGGTCACAGTGACCAAAAAGCGTGACCTAACTGGTCAATGCATGGGCAGAAAGGTCACCTGACCAAAAAGCAGTGATCCTATTGGTCAATGCTAACTGATCGACAGGTGCAGGAATGTTCCACTCTGGAGGAGGGTGTCGACTTACTAGAGAGATGCAGCTACTCAGGCAGTGTGTGATGGTCATCGTGGATGACTTTTCCACCAGCCCGCCCGTCACCACCTCCGACATGGACACGCTGTCCTTTGGCCTGGGCACGCATGCGCGGTAGACACCCGGACTGTCAATGTCTGTCCACGTCATCCATGTTTTATTCAAGGCTGCAAAGAGAAGATGAAAAATGGAGATTAACAACGCACACTCGCTCAGCACATTCGGCCGAGTCCCAACAGACAAACATTCTTGGATGTGAAAACATAAACAAGACATGTAATCAGACTACGTACTCTTCAAGCCGTACACAAACCAATGGGCTCGATATATACATACCAGATACATATCTGAACCGCCGTCCATCCGTGGCAGACTGCATAGCCAGCATAGACTTTTTACCAGCACCAATCATGTGTTCAACTTCACGCCTTCCAGGATCTATTGCTTTCAAGTCTGCTGTGAACGCGTCATAATCCCGAAAGAAGTGCAGCCATTTGCCCATCAGGTAACCGACCAGGCACAGCCCGGCTAGGAAGCCGATTTTCCCCGCCCACCGACAGACCATTTTCCGCGGTGCGAAGAATCTCGACGTACCCATAATTGCATGTAGCTACGTATTACACCACTTATTGCACGAAGCCATTAAACCAGAGTGTTGGACAATACAGTCTAATTAACCGAGACGTGTGTTCTGTGAGTTTCCATGTAATAACACCAGCAGAGCAATTTAGTACACCTGCGATCTATTTCTACGCACCCACGTCTAAGTTTTGTGCGGCCTACTATATCGAGGTGAAAGTCCAACGTTATCAATGGAGTGGATTCATGTTATAGATTTTTCCATAGCCGATCGGGTTTACAAAGAGAAATAGCCCCGTGCGCGATTTGCGCTAGGTAGTTGCGATTCAAGACTGAAATACGTGTCTGTTGAGGAAGGCCTACATAATTATTTACGAAATTCGTACTTGAATTGGAGTCTGTGATGACAATCAAAATCAATTAGCCAGCCAATCCGAGGCTGCTCATGCGAGGTCAACGCATGACACCTTGTCCTTCTAATTCTCTTTAAAATCTTATCAAAAGTAGAGCAGTTCATCCAAATTATACATAAGCAACCGGACTTGAAAAACGTCTAGCTAGTTATATGCACGAGCGATGGTGAGTGAAGCCAAAGGATGCACTGAGGCATGGCCCCAACAACATGTACGACAAGAAGAATGACATGTATTATTCATATCCAGGTGCTTGGAATGGTGGTGACCGTGTAAGTACGTACGTGCGGGTGAGGTCTATTATAGTCATAGTGGCACATTATAATAATGATACAAATGTCAACTTAATGTCATTATATTTGCTGGTCTTGGGGAGGGGCCAGCCTACACTCCACTTTAAGCTTTGTACCTGGCTCACTAATTGAGTCACGTGTGAGTGAGTTATTAGATTTACTTAAGTCTCACCTGAGCCCAAAAATTGACTGAAGTGACGACCTACTGAGTACCTCAACCCCTAAACAGGGATGTGAAAAAAAGAAGGCAACCCACTTTTGACAGGAATTTTAACCTACTTAAGTTAAACTTAACTTATTCGAACGTGGTTTTTTTTTATAAGGTAGTGAAGTATAGCTCTTCAACCATACATGGTGAAAAAATCGCAAGAATAGTATTATTATGCTAGTTTGAAAACAATGTGCCATTTTTGTTTATTATTTTACTTCTGTCGTTGCACTTGTAATTGTAATTGTTCTTTATTAATTTCATACAGTGGGGTCTCCACTCGACAAGCTCATGCTTTTTGGACACCTCCATCCATCCATACACAATAATTCAAATGTTAAATAATTATATATGTACATGTACATGTATGTGTTGGGAAACGATTAAAGATTTGATTGATTCATTGATGATCGAAGTCACCAAAATCACAGTTGTCCACGTGTAAGTCGATCTAGTGTAGTGTTTTTTTTGTCTTCAAATCAAGCTCCGGGGCTTAGTCAAGCGGACGGAATAATTACGCCGTCCGTGGATGGACAGACAGGCTTGGCACATGACATTTTTTTTAAACTACCATATATCTCAGAGAAAAAAATATGCATTTGCAATTTTGTTCGTCACTTATGTTTAAAGGTCAATATTTTAGTACCATTAAATTGAATTTTTTTTTAAATATGCTCAACAAGTAGGTGAAAATTGCTGTCAAAAATGGCTGTCCTTTTTGCATCTCCCTATATATAGACCACATTCAATGTGGAACTATCTTTGCTAGGCTTGCCCTGTCCTTGATAATGCTGAGAAAATGACAATGAAACAAACAGTGACGAAACTGGAGGGTCACGATGCCGGATGCTTAATTTCTGAAGGGGAACACAAAGGTTTTTTTTTATAATACAAACCTTTCAAGAGTCGTTCTCCAAATCCAGAATGGGAGGGGAACAGGAGTTGGGCATGGGGGAGTGGCATAGGCCGTGTGGCAAGGCCCTTCCCTCTTTAGAAATAGACTATAAGAAACTATAAAGCACACAGAGAGCGCAAACCTCCGCCAAGGCCAATCAGTTCCCCGCCATGTTGTCAGTTAACCCCAAAGAAACACTCACATAAATGGTGAAGAATCCTTAAAAAAAATCCTGGAACCAGACCCAGATCCGGATCACTTCCAAAATCTAATCGATTTGTACTTGTACCAAGGACCCCTAAAAAAATACTGCAAATCCGTCCATAGCTGTTTGAGTTATCTTGTCAACAGACAAACCAACAACATCCAACGAAAACAACCTCCTTGGCGGAGGTAATAATGACATCTAAAATGACAGATTGCTGTTGATATCACAAAAGGCATAAACTCTACATTATACCTCGGTGAAGGGTCTGGCCCAATATGAAAACTACATGTGAGCATCTCCCTGACGCAGAACATCACCATACAAGAAACATTATACCTGATACGAAATGACTGGCGGCAGGTCGTGAAGTTAAGGGCTTGGGTCTCCCCCGACTCCTAACTTGGTCCATGACCAGGGATGCGTCCAGGGGTTTGTCAGCATGTCCGACAGGTAAGGCAGGCGAGTCGCCTAGACTCTTCTCCAGCTTGGGTCCCGGACCATTATGGCTGGCGGTGTCTTTATCGTGCATGTATCGACCGAGGTAGAAACTCGTTGCACACAGAGCGAAGACTACGAGCACGACGCCTTTGTAGCGGTACATTCTGGCTGCGAAATGTCGAGAGTTGAACATTTCTTTGTCGTTTAACAACTTGCAAAGGCAAACACAACTTTCGTACAGAATATCCTAGGTTTCGTGGACTACTGTGAAGTTGAAAGTTGAGAACAGTCTTGACTCAGAAAGATGAACGATTCAACAAGGAATGAACTGAATCAATGTTGTTCAAATTTGCGAGTTTATATTGCGACAGTCTAATGGAATAGACTGATTAGGAATTGCTACCCCAATACATGTTGTTTTCTGGATTTATACTACCAGCAGTCTGACGTTGGTATCCACCCTTATCTTTGTTGGCTCAGTTGATGATCTGATTGATCACACTGAGGATGCAAAGCAGTAGAATGTCACAATTTCAGTCCTTTAGAAACTTTGACAGGATATAAGCAACAACGAGAGCAGAGACGAAAATAGTATCCAACCGAGTACAGCTTCTGGAACGATGAAAGCAGTTACTCAGCTACACGACCGTCTATAAGAATATATCTCAAGAGTAACGCTGCATGGCTGCAATTCACAAACTAAAATGGTGATGTCCACAATCCTCAAAGAATTATGATGGAGGACACTCTTTCTATCTTGAAGGCTTAATTAGCGATTCACCAAGATTTTCGAAGCTGTTCGTTGCCAGTATGTTCTTTTCCGTCGACATGTGCAGTCAAGGATACACAAGTAGTGGTAGAGTTCGCTCCGTCCGACTAAAGATGCGGTCCAAACATCAGTCTTCACTCGGAACTAGGTTTCCATGCTCTAGTTTGTACACATTTCGATGTCTGAGACACAACGGCTATCTTATGTCGACAGTTCCTGTTACCACTGCGGACTGCTTTGGTAAAAAAAAACCGAGCACCGTGCGTTGCAGGAATGACGACAAGACATCAAGACATGACATTACCTCTGCCGTCTACGTGGCATGGTAATGTTCAAGACCAATCTTTCTGGTTGGACCATATCGTGGATTTGTGCAATAGACCTACCCAAACAGCACGTGCAAACAACATTCCAGGCATGCAAACAATCTGTTGAATTTTCGACTCGGCTGTCTCCTAGCAAGGAATCCCCAAGGCAAACATGGCATTATGGACTTTGCCATGAGAGTGTAATTTATCCACAGTTTCATTTTCGGCACGGTTACAGTCATTTTTACCGTTGGGTTTCATTGGTTGATTGAGTTTTTTTCCGATTTGAGGAATATTCATGTTGTGCTAGTGATTATTATTTTGTGTGTGTGGTGCTACAAAGGTGCATGACCATCGGGTCCATGTATGGTCGTTATGCTGTAATAATCTGCATTGGCGTTGTCATTTGTCATCGCCACAGTCATTGTCACATTCACGTGGTCGGTGACGGGTGATTGTCAATCATCCTCAACCACCTGTTCGACCAACAGAACTGTTCATCCATCGCTGTCACCATGGTGGCAATAAGGCTCATTGTCACCAATATCACGTGCGGTGTCACCGAATTGTCAAAGTCGTATCCGAACCAGAACAGGCAGAGGACACTGCCCCCATCGCAGTTCCCACATTCTAGGCACCATTTTCCTCAATATCAAACAAAATTGCTACTGTTAGCCTACTTACCCTAACAACCGATTAAAAAGTTAAAAAAGGGTCATAACTACCGTTGGCCACACTCTTTCCGAAAAAAAAATAATTCTGAGGGGTTGGAAATTGTCTTGATAAGGTTCGACCTTAAAATGACGTTAACTATCACCCGATATGACGTCATGTAACGTCACTATCGTCACGTCATAATAGTCGTTATCGTCACGAGTAAACATCGCAATAATCATCAAGGAAAAAACCCTTATAAACGCGAAAGCACTCACCTGATATGTATTGTCTTAATTTTAGCGGCTTCACATTAGGCTGGCCTACAGCAGCAACAACAAGGTTTTGCGATTCTCGGACTCCAACCCTCTCTACTCCGAGACCCACTTCATCTAGCGTGTCGACAGGGCCAACCGCTGCCGTGTCTCCCCCGTCCTTCAACCGTCCATCGTGCTCGCTGAGAGCACCCCCTCCCAGCCCCGTCTCCCCGTAAAAGTACTGTGCATAGAAGTACATCGCGCTGCAGGCGAGGACCAGGAGGAGAAGAGTCGTCCGCGGGCGAGAAGCTCTCCAAGACCGGCAGCGTCGCTGGAGGGTTGACATGGTGGATCGGATTCAACTCTCCTGCCTCAGGTTTCACGTTGGCCAACCTGTAGTAGCACCTGTAGAACATAAGATTGACCGTTCACTCTATTAATTAATTATAAACTTGTCTCGACCATGGCTCGACTAGTTCGGCTAAAATGGGAGTAATCAGCCCGACGGTAACTAAGCCTAAGGAGCAGATCTTTCCACAATCAACAAGAAATGTGGACCTGTCTTAATAAAACTGGGATAGAAATCCACACATGGACATCACTATTCAGCCATCAGAAAGCGATAGCACGTTCCCCCTAAAAAGTCAAATTTAGCACGGAAAATATTGAAGGATCTACTGAGAAAATTACACTTGGAATTGTTCAGACCAGTCTCACCACAGGGTTTGTGCACAGGGTGTCAAGTGATGTCCAGGTATGCAACTCTTTCGCTGAATATTTTCTGTGGGCCTACCTAATTCACTCATCCCTTATGTTGTTTCTTCAACCATTTCTCTCTCTTCTGAAAATCCACGGCACGTACATTCCGTGGTTGTGTGTTCCTAGTTCGATGAGTGGAGCCGCCATTAACGCTGTGTTATTGATGCCTGCACAAGCAGACGTGAATACAATAGGTTACGTAATAGGCAAGAAAGCAGAAATTCGTTCCTGGTAGTCTTGGTTCAAGACGTTCTATATTTTATTTTGCTCGAACGCACATTGATCTATGGGGGAGGGGGGGGGGTGCAGACCATAATATACCCGAAATTGCTTACGCCGATTTGGATGCCCTCAAATTCTGAGATATTAGAGCATTTTGAGGGCCGTGAACGTGAGGATTTGTTAAAAATAAAAAAAAAATAAAAAAAGAGTGGAAGCCGTGCAGAGGACTGCGAGCTCGTATATTTCTGTGAAACTTTGATGAAATTAGGCCCTAAAATTGCTCTATTTCGCAATGGAGCGTGGGCGTCCATTTTCAAAAGGCGATGGGCTTCAGGACTGCTTTCAGGGGTGATCATCTTTGGATGGAATTTTCTCCCAAAAGTCATTGATTAACTCAAAAAAAGAGTAGCGAAAAAATGAAAGATGGTGAAATACTCTTTAATCATTGATGATCTTTAACACCTTAGAGAGTTGCGAGTATGTTTTTTTTAAAAATGTTTTCGGGAAGTGTGCGTAATTATCACTGAGGTATATGGCCGTCTGTTTACTGGTTTGCAACCATAGGCTCCGACACTCACGCCGGTAGAGGGTACTAGCAACATGATCCACTTTCATCGAGTGCAAACAAGAAAGAAACAAAGGCACACAACTGCAATGTAACACAAGGACGCGTAAATTATGAATTTTCCTTTTGCGTGTCCATGGACGCATGGTTTATTCGGGATCTTACTTTTACGCAGACAAATTTGTATAGAGACGATTTCTACAAAGATTGGATTATCGTCTCTTTGATACAACTAAAACTGTGTTGGTCTAAAGCAGCTCAAAGACAAGAAATTACACACTCTAAGCTTGGGAAACATATTCCTAAAACCGGTGTAGTGTGAAATTTGGACTCTATGAAATACAGACTCATTGGTTGTACTGCGCATGCCAAGTGACAGTTGCATCTCACGTAAGGTAAAACAGACCAGATTTCATGGGAGTCCACATTTCATATGACACCGTCCTTGTTTTGATGAATAAAGTCTTAAGCATAATTATAACAGTTGTATGGACTTCCAACAAATATAACTAAGACTCTTCCGATTGGAAATTAAAGTTTGCTCTGTACGTATTCCACAGCGTAATTTACAGCTTTTTTTTCGAAACCAGACTACCAACACATTTATTAATTCTTCAATTAGTAAGAAAAACGGTTGTACACTTAGTAGTTTCGGCAAACATACGGAGAGCAAATGTACAGATGTTAAAAAGGGATCAAAAAGTATTGTATATTAAAGAAGTCTATGCTGCCGGTTATTTGAAGTCACAGTGGCAGGTCCAATCACAAGATGCGTTACGAGTGATTTGATTTGTCTCAAAATGCCAAACCTCTCCCCATTGGCCAATCGGTGATGACGTCAGGGAAGCAGTAAAAAACGACTGGTGGGGAATATTCTAAGTATCGCTCAAAGCAAAAAAGCGCACATCCCGAACCAAACTTTTTTGTTTTTAATCAGGTGTGATTTTATACATCGATTTTGTGAATTTTTTATGTCGAACATAATTAAGTCATACATGCACTTGCAATCTTGTCAATTTTTTTTATTGACCATAAACTAATACAAAGCAATCACAACCGATGCATACACCGATCCATTTCTTAATGGCATTTCTCTATAGCAGAAATTACGACAACAGAAAAGCTATCACTTTGCACTTGATTATAAGAAAACTTAGACTCTTTTGGATTAAAATCAAGTTGATTAGATTGTCAATTTCAAAGAACACAGAACAAGCCCTATATTACGATGCGTACTTTGTACGAGACGATAAACAACACTTATTCTAGAGACAAGTCGCAGAATAAAAAAAAAATCATCAAGGAAAACACTGTATCCTGTAACTATCACTTTAATCGAATGAAAATGCTTCGGAAAAGTGTTTAACAAGAAAAACTACCCGCTGCCTACCTGACTTCAACTACACAAAAGAGCTGTTACAAAAACAAACCATACGCGGACCTTTTAATCAAGTTAAAAAGGGGAAAAATAACAAGTTTCTTTCGCATTATAAAATAGATGGGTTGTTTATTTAGAGCAAACGAGTTGATAAAAAATATAGTCTATAATTTGATATCTTATACGCTTCATTTGGCCAATGATATAAAATGTATTCGTACGAGTTTTGAGTTTGCTTAAAATGGAAATTCTTTGAGTTGAAGTGAGTTGCTTCCAATCCGGTTCGTTAGTTAAAAGTCGTACACGCGCGCGCACCACTGATTACTAGCACCCATTGGATAAACACGTAAGTTGCGTTAACTTCCGGTTCGAATGGTTCCAATGCTACTTAATGGCCAGTAGGCTTGGTTTGAACTGAAGTGACGTCACACTAACGAACCGGATAGTTAACAGTCTGCACTGTGTTTGTTTTAACCCGAAAAAGCGGTTGTGTGTGTTTGTTTGTTTGTTTGTTTAAACGTTCTTTTGGCTGGCTGTGAAAGATTTTAATGAATACGTCCAATAGTATAATTACAATGCAATCGGATAAGGGGTGTTGGAATTACCACCGTTTGTAATGGACCGATCCGCTAAGCTCCTCCCCATCAGGTTCTGACCAATCACAGTGGTGATTTACGTCCGACATGCGTGCGCGTGGGTCAGCCAAGCGCGCGGTTGGAACGCGCATGTGGCGTTGGATAGGCCCACGTGGTGTTGCCCACGTGCTCAGTGGGTGGTGCCTACTGGATCGATCGATTGGGTTCTGGAGCGAGCAACTCGAGAAAATAAGGGTGACATTTTATACCACTCAAGTATTCGAAAAATGTGATATTTAGCAGGACCAATTTTTAAATTCGTGTCAAAAATTCGTAAAACATCCGACCAAAAAAAAATCATAAAAATAAAATTCGGATCTGAGCTCTTTAAAACACTTTTTTCGATCCCTAAAAAAAGTCAGCTAGAAATAAAAATCATGACTGTTTTAGGAAAAAGTAGATTTAATAATTGTCCTAACTTAAAGAAAGTTATCATTTGATCTTCCATTCTCAACTAATAAGCTGCCAGCAGGAGCAAGGAGGCCCTCTACATGCAAGAACATCCCTATTAAAGTAAAAACACATCTGAAACTAAACTTAAACATTTTTGTTTGGGCAATTTGCGCTTTTTTGATTTTTAACCCCTATAATTATCTGCTACCTAAGTCCTAATTGTTATTTTTCGACTTTGTGACAGCACAGTAAATGTTGAGTCTGGTCAACCTATAGTTTGCACATCACAACCAAGGTATCTAACAGGTTACCAGACCTGCCGGTGATCATCACTTGGCAGACTGGTGAATTTCTATATTCCTGTTGCACAACACATCAGCTAAACAGGGTACGAGACCCATCGTCTTGTAGCCTCCTAGTTTATCCTTATACGATGACAAACACAATGTAATGACACTAACAAAAGGACCCAGTAGCTAAATCTCAAAGCATGACCAAACGCTCCCAAAAATGCGTATTATCTACAGCCAGAGCGCTAGCTAAACACATGTATATGCCTGGTTTTGTTTTTTCAATCATACTGTTGCTCTGGTTTACCACACTGTTGCTATAAAAAAGGGAACATCTTGAAGCTGCCCTTTATATACAAGTATGTAAAATCCCTACCCATTCAAGGCATCATAAAAATTACTATCTTGAACAAACAAAAAACGTGTTACATGTATGTACGTTTCGAGTTATCAATACAACAAAGTCAAGGGACTAAAGTCGTTGAAGTTGTTGTTTAGTTGTTGTTGAAAGAAATGTAACATTTAGTTTTGTGTGACCTAAATCGTGAGGCTTCAAGTTTTGCCAGAATCTGGTTGTCCAGAAATATTGCCAAATGTATTTCCCCCCAAAAGGTGACAAGAACAAACTTCATAATGTAATTTGATGATCTGAATATTCTCAATTCAGGGCATTCCTATTTCTCTTCTAATGCTACTTTTTCCTATATGTATTACATACGGTACTCCACTTTGAAAAGAAACACAAATAAGACAAACAAATGACAACTATGGAGTACATTGTACATGTAGCAGACACGACAGATTATTTGCAAACCCAATTGGAAATTAAAAACAAAACACAAACACTAAACGCTAAACTCCTACTTTACATAATTGAATAAAAATATTTTCAGAGGTCTTCAAAAGCCACGTCAGAACACCATGCCACTAAGAATTCTCAAGAATCAATTTGAATTTGGCACAGACATGCAACACAATACATTTCTTTTGAGGTATAATGGAAACCAATTTTAAACCATAATCAAGATTGTGTCTTTTTGATTGTCGTCCAGAAGTTTTATTTTTTAGATATCGGACAATCACAATCCGAATGGCATGGTGCTCACCTTCCGACCCTAAACCTCAATTTTATCTTTCCTTTTTTTAAAAACCACTAAATTCACATTTCCATTAAAATTCATTCCTTCTTAAAACACTGAATTACCGTGGTGGTTTAAATGATCTCTTTCTTCGCATCTTAATAGTAATTTACACAAAAATCACTGAATATTCATAAACTCACTACATATTCATAGTCAATTATAGACCAACCCGGGTGGGGGCGGGGCTTTATACGGCCACGGCGGCGGCAGCAGGGGCCACGCTCTCTCCGTTGTTCATTCCGTCGTGCTGCACGGCGTCTTTCTTCAGGTTGTCAATGTTTTCTGATGGGGTAGCGTTATTTGGTACATCCTGGGTGATGAAAACAAATGTGTCAAAAAATAGCAAAAGAGGTAGCAATGGGCAGTATGCATTGCGGGTGTCTCAAAGGGTGTTCTGTGCTAGAGCTGTGCTGAATATCCTGAACAAGGAATTTTCGATCATCAAAGGAATAACCGAATAGCATTTTATTTAATTCAAATATTCAACAAAATCTGAGCAGTCTCGTGGTTATATTGTTAGTGAAATGACACATTTTTGTAAAAGTCTTCTTTAAAAATCGGTCGAATATCACTTGTGTCCATGGCTCACCTGTTCTTTGGAAGGTTCCTCAACAGGTTTATCTGCAACTGAAATAAAAATGATATCAGAGATTATGGCTTTAACGACGACAATTTTTTTGGGGGGGAGAGATTCCAAGATCTAGGATTTGCAGATTTGGGTAGGAGGTGCTGCAGATTTAGCTCCGAAAATAGAAAAAAAGGTGCCCCACTTAACTTGACTTTAACCCAAGTCCAACCACACTCAGATGTAAGGAATGAAAATTAGAGGAGCCCACAGTGAAAATGATTTGTGAATGCTGCTTAAATTGTAAGACTTGTATAAGTTACAATTTTTTTGTCCAATCTGTGGGCAGAGGAACACTATTTCACAGTTGTCATTTACTCAAGTCCATAACTGACATAACTGACAACTTTAGTCCGTATTGAGTAGTAATTTTGCAGAGACTATACTCTATTCAAATCATGACTAAAACCCAGAGTCACTGCGACAAAATAACTCAACTCTACTCTCTTAGCAAAATCAGCCCTAAAGACCTTCCAAAATACTCACTACAGTTTCTCTGTTATTTCACCCAATACGGACAGACTAGCCTCTATTCAAACGACTCAGCTCGACTCTCTCAGCCCTTCCAAACGACTAACAACTCTGTTACTTCAGCCAATACGGACAGTGCATTAGCATTGTAGTCGAGTCCATCACAAATTCGGTCATGTAAGTCCAGCCACAAGTCCAGCCACAAGTGCCGGTAAGTTTGGATGACCAATCGCAAAGGAATGCTTCAGTCACAACTAATATGAAAAAACGTGTGAAATAAGACTGGGTGGATTTGTGAGGACTTGTGAGGATATGGGAGGACTTGTGTTGGACCAGTGAGGGCTTGTGAGCACTTGTGAAGACCTGTGAGGACTTGTGAGGATTTGTGAAGACATGTGAGGGCTTGTGAGGGCTTGTGAGCACCTGTGAGGACCTGTGAGCACCTGTGAGGACCTGTGAGGACTTGTGAGGACTTGTGAGAACTTGTGGGGGTATGTAAGGGCTTGCGAGGAGTTGTGAGGACTTGTGAAGACCTGTCAGGACTTGTGAGGACTTGTGAGAACTTGTAGGGATATGCGAGGGCTTGCGAGGAGTTGTGAGGATTTGTGAGGACTTGTGATGGTCTCAGCTACAGCAATGCAGGGAACAGGCAAGGCCATGACAACATTGGCAGATTGATAGAAATAACAGAATTGCTGAAACTCAGCCTAGTCTCCGTTTGTGAAACTCAATAATATCAGTGACTCGAATGGACTCAAGCAAAACAATTGACTCCACACAACTCAACTGGGGGCACACTTTGTGACTTAACGCAACTCGACCTTGTTGACCGAATGACTCACCTTGAGTCGAGTCACTCTCTTAGAATGACTTGACTCGACCCGAGTCACATAATAAGCCAGTTTGGTATTTCAATGACCCCAGGTCATTCGGGATTACATCGCTGACGTAATGTTACGCGATGTTACATGTATGCCCATTCTGCTCGTTATTGCCACACAAGCATTGGCGCCCGCGCGTTCATCGCCTTCGATCAATTATCCCGAATGACCCGTGACCCATATCGTTGTGAACATGCGCAGTTGAAATACCGAACTGGCTTATTCAGTGAGTCATTTCAACTCTGTCTCTTTCTAGGGCCATCTTCAGGATCAGCACACATCACCCACTCCCATAAAAAAAGTCCTTCAGGGGCCTTCTAGATGGCAGGTTCCACCACCTTTTCCTCAAAAGGGGCCGTATCATAAGTCTGACGCCTCATAGGTCCGACGCCTCATAAGTCCGAAATTTCGGAGTTATGAGGCATCGGACTTATGAGGCATAACATTTTATTTATTCCGATTCATAGGTCCAACGCCTCATAAGTCCGACATCGGAATAACAAGGCGTTTAAATTTGTCGGACCTACGAGGCGTCGGAGCTATGAGGCATCGGACCTATGAGGTGTCGGACTTATGAGGCGTCGGACCTATGGGGCATCGGACTTATGGGCATGTACATGTATTTGGTTAGGGGATGCGATTTTGTGGGACTTATGAGGCGTCGGACCTATGAGGCGTCTGACTTATGAGCGGGCCCCCCCTCAAAAGACTGATCCATGTAGTCTGATTCAGACTGATCCACCCACTGCGTACGTGGGCAACCAACACGTGCACCTCTCTAATGCCAAACAGCATGTTCCAGCCCAGTGCACATCATACGTGCACACACACATGTCAGGCTTTTTTGTACGCAGTCGGTCACTAACCATGACTGTGATTGGTTAAATCACCATAGGGGGTGGCTTAACCCTAACCCTGCCAGGCGCAACACAGTGCATCCGGTGGAAAAGTCCGGTGCACTTTGATGCATTCAGCTACCAACACCAGTGCATAAACGGCCAGTTCTGAAACAATAAGAGCTAATCCCATTGAACAGTGCCACAGTTGTATCCTGCTGCATTCGGTGATCATGGTCTCTAAGGCAGTTTGGCCTTAAGACTTTAACCTGATGGATCTTGCTACACTGGGCAGGCTTGTCACTTAGACGAGTGTTGCATGGTGCTGCGTGTGGCAGGGTTTATAGCCAAAATAACCTGGGAGTTGCATCGGTCTGTTCTCTGCTGTACGAAGATCAATCTTATTCAAAGTGCCAGTGATATCAGAAAAAAAATCTCCAGGTGCTTTTACGTTTAAAGGGTGAGAGCAGGAGAGATGTGCAATCATTTTGACAAATTTAATATGCGGAAGGAACGTGCAAGTGCAGACACAACATGGCATGCAGGGAAACGGCGCAGAGCAAAAAGAACACGGTGCTGGCTTTCAAACAAAGCAAAGTTAAGGCCGGTGCTTACTTGGCACTAAAGTGAATGTGAGCCCGAAGTTGTGACGGCATGTCAAGTTTCGTGCTGCGAATTTGCAAAAGTTGAACACATTTCAATTCCAGCAAATTTCCAAGCGAATGTGACTGCGTCATGATGTCAGATTCGCTTCGCAATCGCATGTGTGAAGTATGAACTGGCCTGTAGTACCGGGTACAAGCTCAAAGCACGGGACCACAGCCTATCGCTTTACTTGCTAGAAAAGCAGAACAAGCCATTGTGGACTAGGAAAATGAAGCCAATAAGATGAAGTCTGGCGCATCGAAAGTGCAGCATGCGCGTGAGCGGGACACCACCGCAGTAAAAGCTTCTAATTCTGGTCGCCGTATTCCACTATAAGGTTGCATGTGTACACAAGCTGTGTCCCTCACACAGGACTTTTCGCGCGAGCATAACGCAGCGCCATCTACAGTTTCATCAGGGAGTCCTACAGCACCTACGGGTTTTTCCAAGCGAAAGCAAAAAAAAAGGTAAGCAAGCATAGAAGCCACAGCATGATAGATAACAAGACGTCATACACAACTCAAATACCCTCTCCTGTCCTCACCCTTCTGATCTGACTCATCTGACTCCGCCCCTCCGGGGGTACCGGGAGTCGGGCTCGGCTCGGCGTCCGAGGCCGGCGTGATCATAATTTCGGGCTTTGTGAGGAATTGCAGCGGTGGTGGGTACTTGCGGTGGCCGGGCGACGCGCCTGTTAATAATGACGTGAAAATGTTCAAAGGTTCGGTTAGGGTGCGTCAGAGATGACATGCAAATGTGCGTCGAGAAGTGGTTTACTGGTGACCCTTCTGCTAATGCTTAGAAGGTGCTGACACTGAGTTGTAATTAATGCAGAGAATGGACGGTAGTGGGATGGAAAAGAAACCAAAGTAAAGAAATCACAAATGGAAAGTATGCGGAGCAAAACGTGCGACAGGCAGTATTGATGATTTGTCAAATAATGATATGAACTTGCAAAAGCAATGAATTAACATTGGCAATATGGTATCAATTTACATGGATTTACAGGCACAGGGAAAATTGTTGTCCTGTAATTCTCCGTAATACACCATGATATTCACAAATTAAACAAACTAATACGTTTTACCACTATTTGACAAATTAGCAACTTGAAGCTGTTGACAACAGAACTGCTATGCAATGCAGGGCAACATCTTAAAACACAAAGCAGAAAAAAAGATGCGTGCCTTGTGCCCTCTGCCACCAAGCATAAAAAAAAAAAAAGAATCTGCGTCTTGAAGAAAAGCAGCATTTCAAACAAACAAACTGCAACAAGCAACTGCCATGCATAGCCTTGTGACCAATTGCTCAAGGTTTTAAGGCTCACCAGACACTGCACCCTGTCCGCCGTCAGTTTGTGGGGCCGCCGTTTCTTGCTGCGGCTTGGAGGAATCCTGTGAAAGATTGACCGCTACGTCCTCAACTTTTCGCGTGGTCTCTGGGGCGGCGGCTTTTTCGGCGACAGCTGCGGTTACGTTCTGTACATTGGCCGAGACAACCACAACATCCGGCTGCTGCTGTTGGGATTTCGTGTCGGCAACCGGAATCACTATGGGAGTCGAGACCGTCACAGGGGCCTGAGCTGTGGGCTGGACCTCTGTTCGGGATGGGGCGGGTGGTCCAGCGGCCTGTGAGGTCTCAGGAATGGCCTGTGAGGTCTCGAGAGCGGCCGTTGGCTTGGGGGCCGATTCAACTGTCTGCTTAGCGGGGGACTGGGTTACCGTGGGCTTGGCTGCAGTGGGGGCTGGTGGTGATGCCTTGATGACCTGGGGCAGGGCCGTTGGCGGGGCCGTGGGCGGGGCCGCGGGTGTGGCCGCTGGCTTTTTCACCTCCTGAGCCACGGTGCTGTGTTGCGGGACTTGTGAGGCGGTGATCTTAACCACCGGGTTCTGCATCATTGGGATTGTGGGCTTCACTTTGGGCGGAGCCTCTGACTTTGCCTCTGGGGCAGGCGCCTTGGCTGTTTCATGTTTTTTTGAGTTTTGTAAAATAAGTGGTTGGTGTTAGTTTGTGTCAGTTTGTCAGTGTGGATGTGTCAATGAAGAGAGAGGGATTACAGATAAAGGGGGAAAAACAGAAAGATGTATTCACGTTAAAATGAAAAATGCTCGGTTAACGTTCAGATGCATAGGACTACAACATGTATAAGGGAGCCTCTCAAAAGTAGGAACGTCCCCGTTCAAATCGGGAACGTACTGTGTTTCCAGCGTGTTCCCAACTGGAATAGGCTGTCCCCAAGTATGCATGCACACACATAGACCAACGTTCCACCGAGGGATCACCCGGCATTTCCGGGCTGTTCCAAGTGAGAACTAGGCATGTTTCCAAGTGGAACATGCATTCCCACTTTCGAGACGTTCCCTAATGGACCGATCCAGTAAGCTCCGCCCAGTGCGCACGTGGGCAAATTAACACGTGCTCCTCTCCAATGCCACGCTGCATTTTCTTTCCGCGCGCATCATATGCGCGTGCACGCATGTCGGACTTTAGTGCACGCACGTCGGACCTAAATCACGGCTGTGATTGGTCTGAACACCATGGGGCGGTGCTTACTGGATCGGTCCATTGTGAACCCCTCTATGCTGCCCTTTTTGGTATAACATTGTTACATCCTTCGCTCGTAAACCCCGCCCTGCAAACAGGGTGCTGGGAAGGACTGATGAGCTTCACAGAATCTTGTGAAGGAAGTGGGTATGGCATTCTGGGCAACTTATCATGACCTATATAAAAACATCCAGCTGCAGCTGCTTAAGACCGCAGTTAGCTAATGCGCGCAAATGCTATCTGAAAAATGTCTCCTAGAAATGCATACATGTACACTCCATACCTGATGTGATTTCTTTTTCATTGCAGACCATGTGGACAAATTTGAGCATCGCATACTGAATGCAATTTGACCCTTCGTGAATTCGAAACGGAGCCTGAGCAAGTGCCGGGAATTGAGAATTTACAAAACAGATACATTTTACAGATTTTCCTACATTACTACGCTTTTCAACAAAAATAAGCATTTATGAATGGGAATAAAAGAGCAGTGATTCGGTCTTAACGGCCGTTTAAAACAATGCAGGGTCGTTGGCCGTGATGACTTGCAGGCCACAGGCCATGCAAAATCTATCCAATCAGAGCTTAAATTCATCAGCCCTTCCCAGCGTCCTGTTTGCAGTGAAGGGGGGTACGAGCAAAGTTTTATCCGTGCTCTTCAACACGACAGAAAAAAAATCTACTTTATTCTGTTGTGGACATTTTTGACCTCTTGACCACTTGAAGAAATGCTTTGATTGTGGTTTGCTTTAGTAATTTAAAAACAAAAGATCTATTTTTCGGGGTGAAAATTGAAAACTGCACGTGGAGAGCAAAATTATAAAGACCCGCAGTTTGACATTAACTCTTTAGTCTCTGTAACCACCCTGACGACTGTTGCATCCTAAACCGCCCAAGCACTTTATGGTTTGATTGATTCTTCAATGAATAAACACAATGTGATACAATGTAGTACAAGTGCTAATGGTTAAGGTTTCCAACGACAGCATGTTGCATGCATACACTCAACACAACTGCTAGCATGCGAGCTTTCTGCTTGCTGCTCAAGGAAGTGGCAACAATGGCAACAATGCAAATTTGCAGTATGCATATTCATGATAATTTACATTTTTTTTGCATATCTACGATAATTTACATGTATGCATATTCATGACAACTGTGCTCTGGCTTTGAATGTATTGCACTCGCTATGACAATATGGCACGAGTCGAAAATATTGTCATAGCCAGTGCAATACATTCTTGTATCCCCCGAAAAAAAAGCCATCCAATATTATTATTTTTATTTATATCAGGCTGACTTGATTCGCAAGAAATTCAAGACAATGTCTTCATTTCTCCTATTTCGTCAAAATATTTGAAGACGCCATTGTGATTATTGACATTAGTACGCGTATACCAGGCCTGCTGCGCGCTGCGTCCGTGTTCGCTGGTGACTTGTTGACAACTGTGAGTTCCTACGCTCTTGATCGTGCAGGAACCAGCAAAAATGCCTGGATGAGGGCGCGCTGGACAATATCAAAAGTAATATTGTAATGAATTTGGGTACTTTTACTGACAATATTGCTGTCATCCAGGTACGTTTTACAAAAGCATAAAATATGCTGATTTATTTTTACCGATGGAAGCCTGATATAAATAATAAACAGCGCAACGCGAGCGCTGTTTGTTGCAGTTGATTAACCGTGACTTGTTTTTTAAACCGTCATAAAAACCGTCATGACATGCTTAAGTTGTTTGCGCGTTGCATTTAGAGTACACTTTCAAAGTTCAATCCATCTAATTTCATTATGTTCTACAAACATGCACATGAATTCAAAATGTCTGCGCCCAGGATGGCTTCAAAGCGTCTCTGTGCGCAAGAATGAGGAGTTAGCGCTCTAGTAATTTAATATAGCTCTATGCTTGTCATTGACTTGTGTTGGACTTGATTGCAACTCTGATTGAAGCCCTGATGTGCCTAGCATAGGATACAACAACAGGCAACAAATATTAGGCGAATACAAGCGCATGCTTATTAAGCTCTGGCAGGAGCTTCAACATGTCACGTAATAGTCGGTCGGTCGGTCGGTCTGTCTGTCCCCGAAAATTGACCAAAAGTATGTGTTGTTCCGTATGTGCCATCTGCGTCGCATTTTCAGCATCGAATTTTTCAGCGTTGCATTTTTAAGTTCTGACAGGGATCGTTTGGATCGATTTCATGAAGAAGGTCATGCAAGACTTCTTGCAACACGGCCAGAGCTTATTGTGCGCTCACACTTACGGAGTATCAATTGCCATTACGGTTCCTGATAACTATTTTCTATCTTCCTAAGGGGTTTCATGATGTCCATTTTTCATGCTCCTGGGGGTTCTTTTCAACAGGAGATGTCAGTGGTTCTTGCAACACGACCAGAGCTTATTGTGCACTCGCACTTGTTTCATTTGCTCATACCCATCGTTCTATCTAAAGGCACTGGAAACTGCTTATTTCCTTCCTAAAATCTTGTAAAGGAAACGGAGATGTCCAAAAGCACTGTGGGATGCGCACTTGCCGTGATCAATGCCCGCATATTCCGTACGCATTTGTGTGCACGTGGACGATCTCCCCCAGTCACCAGTAAAGAAACTCTGTCCAATGGGAGTTCCAAGTGATTAGAGATAACCTGTGGCTTTGCATACACAGTGTGTACAAAGAAAAGCTTTGATTGTCATTGATTGAGAGAGGGCGCTGGTGCTATACACAAACCTTGATTTGTCTCCATCTTCTCGTCTTGAGACTCGGCGACCTCAGGTTTCCTGTTCTCCTCATCTGTGCCTTCTTGAGCATCTGTTGCATCCCCGCCTGAAGATTCAACAAAACAGAAGGCATGACAAGGACTTTCTGGTTTTCGAAACAATTGTTTTTCTCTACCTAATGAACGGCAAAATGTGAAAGAGTAGGCCTACCTACATGCAAAGGGTACACAGAAGCATAGGAACTACAATGTATGTTTGTTTTTGGAAGAGCTGCAAAATGGTAACAAAATGAGTTGGAATGACTCAACCAGACTTAGCCTAACCTGACCTGAACTGACCTCATGACCTGACCTGACCTCACGACTTGACCTCCTCCAACCTACCTTCTTTTTCCCCATCTCCAGCACCATCGGCCTTGACATCTTCCTGTTCTGTCTCAGCGGGTTCCTCCTCAGTCTCATCCTTGGATGTCTTGGCCTCGGGCTCCTCGTCTTCAGCTGGCTCCGGCTGTGCCTTGCGCTTACGACCCCTAGTTGACTAATCCGCATAAATGAAAGCAAAATCTTAATGCAGAAGCAATAGTCATTACGTAACCCTTACCATGTCCAGTCCGTGGCAAGTACTGCCAAGCTTCCACTGCAGTAGAGGAGCAATCGACAAGATGAATGAAATCCAGTCTTGGGAATGTAGGCACTCGAACCCATTACGTTGTAAGCATACAGTACCTAATGCGCGCTCCATGATGTGTACAAGTGAGGCACGGTAAGAAACCCTTGGGTCTGAGTGCCTACATACCCAAGACCCGATGGACTTCAATATATTGGGTTTTTTTTTCTCTTCACCAAAATATTTGTAAATATTACTCTGTGTTGTCTCAGGGCTTGGAGCAAATTTTACAAGCTTGCTCTGATGGGACCTGAACCCATGCATTCCTGCTTACTAGTGCAGACGTCTTACCAGTCACCACTCGACCGCCAAGCTTGCCGGGGTCAGCCAGCTGGTTTGAATTTGATTGAGCAGCAGGTATCGCAACCAAGCTATTTACTTGATGGAACTTGTAAATTCAACAATGGGTTGAATGAGATGTTAATTCAATTAGGTTTTTTCTTCTTCATTGATGTATTTTTTAACGAACACTGTATACTCTCAGTTGTCTGAAGAGCTTGCACAAAAAAAATCGCAAACTTACACGGCTGGAAAAATTAGTGTTATTGTGCATGTTAATTTTTACCTTTTTCGGAGATGGAGTCTTTTTCGCAGAGCCTGCAGGGCGCCCTCTACGCTCAGGTTTCTCGGCCGAGGTTGGGGTCTTCTTGGGTGCTGGCTTGGGTTTGGGTTCCGGGGAGGTCTGAGGCAGGGCAGCGATCCGAGTGCTACGCCTCCGCGGCTCCGTGGACGGGGACTGCGGTAACGAGCGAGTTGTGCGTGGCATGCTTGCTGATCTCTCCTCTCTGTGATTCAAACAATAAAAACCAAAAAATATTTTTATTTTTTTTCCATCCGTTTTTCAACTTTTGTGAATATACAGTGGAACGTCGCTATACTGCACACCGCTATACCGAACATTCGGCTATAACGAACATCGTCCTTGGCTCTTGATTTTTGGGTACAAAATGTACAGAATATTGCTGTTGAAAAATGTCAACAGAAGAGCGACAAGTGGCTATTATTTCCCCAAGGAATAGAAATGTTCATGAAGAAACAATAACAAAATCATTCCTTTGGAAAAATTCCACACTGGGCCACCGCTCAGAGCTCCTGCACAAAGTCTAGGGCCATGACAGAACATTTTAAAGTATTATCAAAGAATTTTTGCACTCCTTTAACAGTGTTTCTTCATCAGATTTACAATTTTTGGTACTTTTCAGGTCATATTAAGGAATATGAGTTTTGGCCCAGTATGTAATTTTTTCCGAACAGTTCAACACATGTTAGGCAGATAGGCCTTATTGTTTCTTTCTTTCTTTCTTTCTTTTTTGTGGGCGGAGGGGGGGGGGGGAGGCCCAACATTAAAATGAATATTTTTCAGGCACTTTTGTCTTGAGAGTTGAGCTAGCACGTAACCCACAAGGAAAAAATGTTGCAACCTGGCGCCACTTTTTTCTTCATAATCATAGGCCTATATCATCTCAATGAACTTAAGGTCAGTCATTGCAAAACTCAACTGAGTGATAAGACATGAATCTGGGACTGAGAAACATTTCCAATTTTGTTTGGAAACACTTGAAAATGTCTTGACTCTCAAGTCATAGACTTGTCTTTGTACACAACCGCGTGAAAAGTGGCATCAGGTTGCAACTTTTTTTTTCCAAAATTAAATAAAATCAAACTTTTCCCCGAATTGTTTTAATTTAGGTAATATTGTTTAGAAAGCTCCATAATAACCAAACATATTTTTACACCCCCCCCCAAAAAAAACCCAGCGCACTATCGTTTGATGACCTTTGAACTTTGCATTTAATTACTCAAAAGCCAGCACGTACGTACGTACGCGTGCGTGCGTGCATGCATATCATAATGCATGGAGCCAGTGACCAGTGCACTAGCGTAGGCCTAATTTTAACAATGCCCGGCTGAGGTGGCCCACTTTGGTGCCTTAAAAATACACCTTTTCGCTAAATTCTTGTGATAAAAATCGCCTTCATGCTTCCCATATTATCTAAGATACGTACCAACTTCTAAAAGGAGGGAAATTACCCCGAGAACGGTGGAAATCTGGGCTAAAATGGCCCGAGTGTTTGTTGCCAAACAAACAAGTGCCTCACGGAATGGCCTCGCTTTCAGCTGAACTTTGACCTCAATCCATATTATTGAGGAGCGCCACCGTTCGTTCGCAAACGGAAAGGGTAAACAATTATTTTGTTCCTCGCCTGCGTTTGTAACAGCTATTTGGCAAAAAGCTTCAATTGTCGACCACTTATGTCATTTTTTGTTTAAATTTGGTTTCATTTAGTTTCAGTCACGCATCACTACACATTTATCAATTGATCACAACAATATGTTTGGACACTGTAACCAACTTCAGTACTGTGTTAAAGGGAATATACAACATTTGCAAACATTGGAAAACAAAACTACCAAATTTTTACGAAATAGCTTACTAGGATGTTGGTAAATGAAAGTCTAAAGCATCCTGTAAAATTATGGCACCTGGTGTGAAGTCATTTCAAGAAAAGTGGTATTTTGTATAAATTTCCAACGGTGGTCGGCCGACCACCGTTGGAAAAACCTAACTATTTTTCAACTACTGCTCCAAATTTACCATTTTTTTTTCAGTCCAAATTTTGTTTGCTATTGGTTACATGTTCATGAACGGGTGCAGGCCAGCTAGACTGGTTTCCTTACCTTACAATTTTCCGGCATCTATAAATTGACTCATTTCATCTTTTGTGGAGTTAGGGAACCAGACTACTTGAACATTTTTGTTTTTCTTGGTTTTTCCAGCATTTTCGAACACAAAACTTCAAACTTGGCAGTGTAACAATATTTGATCTATTATACTAACCTCTCAAATAGTTCATTTCTGAAAATTACAGCAAAATCAAATGATGTTCATTCCCTTTAAGTAAGCTGCGTAAAATCCTTCATATTGTGAAAAGGGTTGCAGTAGGGATTGGAATAATTTGCCTATCAGTCATCATGGCAAGACCTCAGTTCAATGCTCAAGGGCAAATTTATGATTCCAATCTCAAACCGCAACACATTACACAGCTTATATATATCACAGCACTAAAATTGTTCAAGGCATGGAACTTGTTCACAAAGTGTCCAAAAATGTTGTTGTGCTCAGTTTGCAGTACGTGTTGAGTGACTAAAATTAAATGAAACTCAAGGGGTTGCTTGGCTAAGGCTTAGTATATGCACAGATTTCAAAATTGACCTCATATGGTTTTGTAGTTATTTTAAAAACAGTCAGACGGACACTTTTTTTTTGGGGGGGGGGCATGCTGCACCGTTTTTTTTTCAGAACAGGGAATGATCACTGCACCAAAAAAGTACGGTGGGTACAGATTTTCGGAGGGTAGTCGGAAGAGGCAAATGACGAGGAAAAGCATTGATTGTTAACACCAATATTTTAATTCCCTCTCTCACTGACCTCTTAGCAATTCACAATACAATTTCAACATAAAGATGGAGTTAAAAGCATAATAACTGTTTGGAGTAACTTATAGACTTGTTAGATTTCGCATCGGATGCACATTGCGCCCTTTTAATTTACCAATGGCCATAATATAAGCAGCTTTTAAAGCTTATTGATAATTTGTTTTACTTGAAAGCTGTATATAATCATAAAATAATCATTTATAGAATGCATGGTACGCTGCAATGCCTTTGTTTTTTTCCCCCGCTTTCACCATGATTTTCACATCATGTTCCTCTTTTCTATGCAATTAAAATACCACCACGAAATTGAAATTAATTTAAAGGAAAGAATAGAAAATATCACACAACACTTAATTTCAGTTTTAAAAGTCTCATAAATAAGACGGTATTTCCAAAAACATGAACACTGATTTTATAACAAAACTAGCTCCTGTTAAATGGTGTCAGGGCAACTGAATTTCCTATAGGTCTATAAGCTGAAAGTTTAACCATAACAAATTGTCCGCTGTTTAGCGGACAAACACATATTGGCATGGCAAATTTTCCAAAGCATACCCTTTTCCCCCAAATAAAACCCAGTTTCATACAAATCTCTAATAACTGAATGGCTACGTATAAACAAATAAGAAACCGTCAAAGAACAAAGTACATCCATGCAATTAGCACCGGACTATATTCCCAATTGACATACATGTGCAAAATCATTCAACATGATCCTATACCGGGGTAAGAGTGCATTAGGCGGTGGTGTGAGCGTACTGCTTGACACCATGGGAGCGAGGTTGTTGGCACCCTCTCTCCCCATCCATTGTGATTTTATTCCCAGTTAGTCCATGTATTATTATGCAGTTTGGGCTCGGCCCTGAGGTCGTCGGGCGGATAGATGATCGGGACCGAGCTTGCATAATGCTCCTGCAGACGAGCCATCAGCACCTTCACGATGTCCGGTCGCTGGGCGGACTTGTCGTGGCGTTCGTAGGGGTCGTCTCGGATGTTGAACAGCCAGACCATTTGGCCCTTCCGATCGCGGGGCTTTTCCGGTCGAAGGCCTGGCAAGCCCGCCGGTGGGACCCAAGTACGAGGCTCACCTGAAAACAATGAAAGTCAGTAATTAGAGAGTTGTCTGTCTGTCCTTGTGAACTTTCCCAGTGACGTTGCGCCTATATTCGGATCAGAATTGCTGTACATGTCGCATCGGACTTGTATGACTCGTGACTCGGAGTCGGACTTGGACTCGATCGAGCCACGATGACAAATGACTCGGACTCAGACTCGACCCTGAGGACTCGGACTTGGACTCGACCTGTGTGACTCGGGAATCTACCAAAAGTACCACAAATGACTGATTTTTTTTCAACAATATAATTCCAAGTTATTTTGAAGACGATCCTCTCCTGAGCAAGCGATACAGTCTGTATGGTGCAGAGATACACATGTAAGTACTGCACATACACACGTCCGGCTGGCTTGTTTCCGATATATTGATTTGGGAAATCAATGTATCGAAACAGTCATGTACACCAGCGTCCACCCTCTATTTGCGTATAGTGTTAGGTACCAGATTATCCTTTCAGGACACTGGTGTCTTGCTTTATTTGACTTGTTATACATGTATTTTATACATGTGTTGTTTTATCCAGCGGATAATGTTTGTAGGTTACCTTTTTGAAAACAATACTGTCATTTTTGTTTTCATCATTGCTGTTTTTGACCCATTTTTTATACCTCATAGGAGGACGGTTGTCGGGGAAGTATATTTTGTAGTCACTAAGCAATTATCTGCTTCTGTTTTAACGAATTGCGATTTTGTTTCTTCATTATTTTAAAAATGCAGTTGCTGATGTCTTATAATCAGTTAACAATGTACAACCAGTTTCTGTTTGTACAGTAAAGATTTGGTCTGACCACAGAGTCAAAATGGCGGGCCATTTGAGGCTAATACCGGCCGGCGTGCACAGTGTTTTTATCTGCAGCACACATCGTCAATGGATCATGATGATTCAGCTAGTTCGATGTTTACTCATAAGAAAATAACATGACTTCACATAATTGCTATCAATGCGGACGGCGTGTAGATTGCCAGAATGACCTATGACGTAAGGGTCAACCTAATTTAAATATTTACTCAAACACAAATAGGGTGCTACGTAAACGTTTAATATTAGGTTTTTGCCCTTCACCGACGTGTAACCACTGTATGACCTCCCGAGTGAAAGTTTGAAAACAAATCACTCGATTGGGACTCGAATCCACGACCTTCTGCTTTCTGGTGCAAACGTCATACCACTGCACCATCGAGCTTGCGGGATCGGTTGGCTTGTTCCAATCTGATGTAACTTAGTACTTATATAGCGCTTTATACCAAAGGTCTCCAAGCGCTCCACAATTATTATTACCTCTGTTCATCAGGCCATGAGACCAATTCTTGAAGCAGCTCAAGATCAGCGCAATCTGGTCTCTACCTTCACATGTACCCATTTATACTCCTGGGTGGAGAAAGGCAATTGTAGTAAAGTGTCTGAGAGTAATTTTCTTCGACTTTTACTCGGGAGGTAACACACTGGATATACAGTGTTTACACGTCGGTGAAGGGTAAAACCTAATATTGAAGTTACATCACCCCGCCGACGCAAGTTCCATGCATCTTATGAATAGAGAAGTAAAAGATTAGCTTTTTTACCAACGGGGCCCGTCAGCAGTTTCCAGTCGCCCACACGAATCGCTGATCTCATCTTTGGATCGAAAGTAAAGTTGTTGTAGAGCGCATCCGAGAACGGGTGATCGTAACCCTCGAATGGGTCGATGTTGTGAAGGATCTCGTCGCGAGGAGATTGGGTACCAAACCTGTGAACGATTTCCCAAAATTAGATTTAAATCAATATCATTTAATCAGTTTTAAACCTGGGATTTGAGAGAAATGCACGAAGTCCTCGAAGTCAAGGTACAGTATAGTCTTCATTGAGTACCAAGGGCGGATCCAGGGGGGGGGGGGCAAAGGGGGCCATGGCCCCCCCCCCCCCCCCAAAACGAAACCAATTTTTAAATGTTTTTATGTGACATTGCAATAAAGGCAGGCAATGAGTACACCACCATCTTTTCCTCAAAAAAAATTGGTTAAAGTGGTCAGAAATTGCCTCAGATCGCACCACAGAGCATCTAGAATCCAAAAATTGTTCGGGGCCCTTAAGCGGGCCCCGAACCCCACGCCGTAATTTTTGGACCCACTTTTGGGGGAAAAAAAAATTTTTTTGCCCCCCCCCAAAATTGTGTTCTGGATCCGCCCTTGTTGAGTACTCGTAAATGTTATGGACAACATATTTTTAAACAGTGGAATACTAAATACCCATTAGGCCTGAAAATACCAGATGTAAGAGCTGTTTCCTTTAACTATAGAACTTCCTACAGCGAGGTCTTCGGGTATTTCTCTGGAATCTCAGATTTTTAACTTTGATGCATATACAATTTAATAAGGTTAAAAGGAAACCAAATGTTCAGCAGGAAGGTATTAATTCCACCCCATCCCCGAAAAACGCTCCTCTATAAGTTTTTCAAGTTCAAAAACTACAGGGTGTTTCAAAGAAAGGTAGTGCATTAAGCAAATGCCCTAACATTTCTCAAAAACTACTTAACATGAGTATTTCATCTTGATGGAGCATATTATATACTCTAATGTATAATCAGTGAAAATGCCGGTTACAGCCTGATAGTCCGAAGGTTCGATAGTCCGAAGGTTCTTTAGTCCGAAGGGTCATGATTAGTCCGAAGGTTCGTTAGTCCGAAGGCTCAATACATGTAGTCCGAAGGTTCGATAGTCCGAAGGGCCCATTGGTCCGAAAATAGAATAAGGTTAATTAATCCGAAGGTTCGATAGTCCGAATAGACGATATGGTTCGAAAGTCCGAATCGACAATAAGGTTCGATAGTCCGAATATACGGTAGGGTTCGACAGTCCGAAATGGCAATAAGGTTCGATAGTCCGAATTGAGAATAAGGTTCGATAGTCCGAATGGACAATACGGTTCGTCAGTCTGGCACTTCGGACCATCGGACCTTTCTGTTGATTCGGACTATCGCACCTTATTGTCGATTCGGACTATCGGACCTTATTGTCAATTCGGAATAATGAACCTTCGGACTATTGAATCTTATTTTCGTTTCGGACTATTGAACCTTCGGACTAATTAACCTTATTCTAAATTTGGACTAACGAATCTTCGGACAAATGAACCTTCGGACTAATGAACCTTCAGATTAATGAACCTTCGGACTATTGCATCAAAATAATGTTCGGATTAACGAACCTTATTTCATTTTCGGACTAACGAACCCCCTCTCATGGAAATTTTGTGCATTCGGACTATCGAACCTTCGGACTATCGGACCTTCGGACTATCGGGCGGCCCACGAAAAACACATAGCCTTTTATAATCTGTTAGATCTCTGGTTTGCATGAACCGATTTCCATGGCATGAGTGTACTGGATATAGGCCTACACAAGAGTATAATAAATAGTTATGACTCATCAAGATGAAAATACTCATGTTAAGCACTTTTTGAGAAATTACAGGATATCTGCTCGCAAAACTCCTTCTGTGACACTCTGTATACGAGGAAAAACAAGTATCGTACCTGATAGTGTCCCACACATTAAAGCCATCCAACGGTTTATGGCCTTCCAGTTTGCCCCCGGAGAGGCCCGCAACGATCGTGGGAAACCAATCGCTGACGTGGATGAGCTCCCTGTTTGTGGTGCCCCGGACTCGAGGGTGCAGGAGGGGGCTGTGCACAAACCCTATGCCGCGTATGCCTCCTTCCCAGAGGGTTCGTTTTGCGCCCCTGAGGGGCCAGTTGCTTGCTCCTAACTTTGGATCACCACCGTTGTCTAAATTAATTATAAAATACAAAAATATGCAGAGTTAAAGGCGTATACTCCTTCTAGAAGGCCAAGAACGTATACGACATAAAGTATGTTTTGCCTTTATTTATACAATGTAGTTTTATTTAACAGGGGCGGGGTGGATCTAGCTTTCAGGAATGAGGGGGGGGGGAGGGCTTTGTGAAGAGGGTGATTGCTATTCTATTGATTGCTACTCGGGAGCATGAAAATGAAACATGCGATGTTTTCTTCGCATTCCCGGGCAATTTCAGCATAAATTTAGGACCTTAAGCAGTCCATTTACTATTTTGGCCCCACTTTACGAGTATCATAACATTAGCCAGCGGCTGAACAGGGAGGGGGGGGGGGAGGGATGGCAACCCGCCTTCCTCTCTATAGATCCGCCACTAGTGATGGCTCGGGTGTCCTTTTTCCTTCTTTTATGGATAACTTTGTCTTAGCTTTTTTAGTTCAGCACAAAGAGTTGTGTGGAGAATGCACATAACCTTGTTCAAAAGAGGGTGTAGCCTCCCCTCCCCAGCCGCATGTTTTCGTCTTTGAATTATTTCACCGTTCGTGCCCCTTTTAGTCACTGTAGCACCCGAAACCGCCCGAACACTCTGGCTCTATTGATTTTTTTTTAGTGAATAAACACAATTTGATGTAATACATTGTAGCACGGGTGCTAACGACGATTACTCTATCGCACAGGTGCGCGTGCGCGGACGTCTATGAGTACGTGTTTATCTTTTCAAACCGTGGACGAAAAATACCAGAGAACAAAAGAGAACAATATCGTCCACGATTCTCAGCATACGTCCGCGATTGGAGTCGTGTACAAAACAGTGGCGTAGCCAGGAATTTTTCGGGGGGGGGGGGGGCTGGAACATTTCATGGGGGGGGGGGGGGCGTCATGTAGATCAATCATAATTTTTTTTAGAAACTCAAAATCTCAGTGGGGGCGACTGGGGGGGGGGGGCGACAAGGTTTCATGGGGGGGGGCGGTCGCCCCCCCCCACGCCCCCCCCCCCAAGGTGGCTACTCCACTGGTACAAAACATATGGGAGTCTTCCTAAAAAGTTAGAGTACAAACAAAAGAGGGACAATAGGACGTCCACGATCGACGGTGAACACACGTCTGCGTGAGTGTGTGCAGATGAAGGACAGCTGATTCTTCACCTTTACATTGTGACCAATCAGTGGGGTTCTACTGTCAGTGACTTCGGCAGCTCAATGCTATCGACCAATCAACAAGCTTTTGTGTTTCAATTATACATGCACACATACATGACACACATTCTACTTTTGAAACCGATGATACCCAGGCCTATAGCTGACTGCAATACAGAGCCGGCGATCAAAGTTACCTTCTTTGTTTAATGCCAACTACCAAAATGCAATGGATTTCTCACCTGTGGAAAATATAATCACTGTGTTTTTGTACAGGTCATGTTCTTTGAGTGCCCGGGTGATGTTCCCTATCGCTTCGTCCATGCATGTTGTCATGCCGGCATACAGCTTGCGGCTCTGGTCCTTTATGTGATTGTACTGCTCTAGGTACCGGCTGGGGACTTGAAGAGGTGCATGAACCGCTTGGTTTGAGAAAAGCATGAAAAATGGCTGCGGGAAAAAAACAGCATAAAAACAATATAAAAACAACACTCTTAAAAATATAGTTGTGATATGTTCATTGCTGGGATAATTGAATCGGTTTATTTGTAAACCCGTGGGGGAGCGTGGCCTAGTGGCTAGGGTTCGTGACTCATGATCAGAGGGTCAGGGGTTCAAATCCAGCCGCTGGCCATTATGTTGTGTCCTTGGGCAAGCCACTTCATCCCCACTTGCCTCTCTCCACCCAGGAGTATAAATGGGCACCGGCATTAGCTGGGGAGTAACCTGCGATGGACTAGCATCCCATCCAGGAGGAATATCTCAGTCGTTTCATGCTACTGAAACCGGAGATAAACGCCGGCCTGATGGGCCACATTGGCTCCTAACAAAAGGACCAATATCTTACGAAATATACAGCGCCTTAATAAAATCCTCACCAATTGGTGGGTTGTTGATCACATCTTACTGAATTATTCGTCCCAACCCATGACCCAACCGCATTGCAAAAATAGAAGTTCTATTTCACGCTAAAGTTTCATTGCACGTTCATACTATTAGTGGCTCTGATCGATCAGATGACGAAAATTTTATTCAGGTGTTTTATAAAATAGATTATGAATGTTTCATATTCGCACAATGGAAAGAATAATTTCGTTCGGTGACCGATAGAATGTTCTACTCCACTCGGTTTCGCCTCGTAGAATTGAACATTCTTTTACCTTATGAAATTATTCTTACCACTGCACTCTTAAACATTCATTATATTTGTACTATAACCTTTTTGAATGGAGGTAAATCAAGCATCCTGTGAAATCATTGCGCTCGGTATGCCGTCATTTCCAAAAAAGAGAGGAATAAACAACATTTCCCAAACCGAACCAAGAATATTTCCCCCTCACTTCGTTTTTCTTCTGTTTTGCGATGATGTCTTGGGCGCGTTTTGCGAAGGCATGGGTGGCGTATTGGCCCTGGTAACCCCACGCCAGCTCCTCCTGATCGCGGAAGTCAAAGTCGTCGAATCTCTGGTGCTTGTAGTAATCTCCACTCCCAAGCAACAGCCCTGCAAGAAATGTGAAGCAGTCGTTATACGAATGCAACCAGTGGCGCACCCAGGATTTGGCATTGGGGGGGGGGGTCTCACTTTTTTTTTGAGGGGGGGGGGGCGGACTCTTTTGAAGTTGGTGGCGCCACTTACACCCCTATTTAACTACTCGAAAATTGGCCACATTCATTTCAGCAGGGTCAAATCGTGGGACAAAAAAATAAAATAATAATAATAAAAAAAAAAAATGACAACCTCTTGGGGGGCTCAAGCCAGCACTAAAAATGTGCTAAAAACAGAGGCTAGCAAAAGAAAAAGAGACTGTACCGAAGAATGTATCGAAGCCCCGCCGTGTCGGCCAGCAAGCCTTCTTGTACAGACCCAAGTGCCACTTGCCGATCAGGTGGGTTGAGTACCCAACCTCCTTCAGCTTCTGGGCCACAGTGATCTCATCTAGAGGCAGGCAGCTGGGCATGTAGGGCCAGATCAGAGAATGCTGGAATCCCGTGTGAATCTACCGAGGTACATGTATAAATTAAAGCGGAAACTCTTAAAAGATCCCGATCAGATTCGACCTAATCCGAGTCATATATGAAATGACATTTTCAAAGGTGAAAATAACCTTTCCCTGTGTTTCTTTTCTGGGCCATTTGACCCGGAAAAGTGTCGTTTTGACGACAGTAACACAAATTGTAATTTGGCCGGGAAACTTGTGTCATTTTGACCAAGAAAAAAAAATGTAATTTTGACCCAGAAGAGTGACTGATCAAATCTGTCACGAATTCCGGGTCGAAGCCCACCCGCGACTTTTAAGGGATTTCCACATGAGCACGTACGATTTCCTCGACCCATACTTTTACATAAAATTTGAAAATTTTAGAGGCAGGTTTAATTGATTTTATATTTCAATCATTAACAAAACTAGAAATCAAGACTACAACTTGTAGCCGTATCCAAAATGGCCTTTCAGAGCTACGGCTGCGTCTATTGTCAGCAGGCTGCCACGTGGTTAGAATGCATAGACAGCGGACCATAATATTCACGAGGAAGCCATCTTGAGCGTGTTCCCTGAATGTATTGTATAGATTTAAAACTGTTGAATGGGATGGTGCCAGACTATTTTATGATTAGAGTGCATGCCAAGCCCGACTTTGATGATTACTGTTATTATTTTTAATGTGGCTTAAAACATCAGGATAAGTATGTGTAATCACAAATTTAAAATTAGTCATCAGAGCAGACTGGTATTAATTTATAATGAACTGTTATGTCATTGCTTTTATTTCAACTCGCAAGTTCCAAAAAATGAAGAGCTTAACACAATTTAAATATGGCCAACACCCGAATAAGGTGTGTGTACTTGGACGTAGCCTTCATTAATTTTCTCTCAAAAATATGCATATACGTAAGTTGCAATACCTGGTATCGTCCGGTCATCAGCTGTGTCCTGGTCGGGGTGCAGATCGGCTGGACATAGTAGTTGTCCAGTTTCACGCCCTCGGCGGCTAGTCTATCCATAACGGGCGTCTTGATCTCGGAGCCATGGTAACCAATGTCATAGTAACCGTAGTCATCGGCCAGAATGAAGATAACGTTCGGCTGTTTGGCTTCATCCTTCCGGACGAGTTCGGGGAATCTGCGCATGTCATTTCGGTGCTTGTTCTTAATTGTCCCCTGAGTGAGTTGCCGGAGGTCGTCGACCTTTCTGGCGTTTGCCTTTTCGGAAACGGCGTTCGCCTTTAGCTTTGTGGAAGCGGCGGTAACGCTTTTGGAAACGCTCCTACGCTCGTCGAAGAACAATTTATTGGCAAGTACAAGAATTATCGCAACCACTACTGAAAGAACAAGTATCAGTTGAACTAGCTTGATTTTCATGGCTGAAGCTCTGTCTCTTGTATAAGAGATGTTTTCACTTGCATGTTATTTTGTCTGTGTCGTTCGGAAACGCACGGTGGAAGTTGATAACTCCAACTTCACTTTGAATAGTTCCTCCAAAAACGGGTACAGTTTTGACTTGACGCTGAATTGGCTTCGTTGTGTCCCTCTACAGTGTGACACGAGGTCCAAGATGCTACCTTGCCGTTTCCAGCAACGGGAGATGCCAGTGAATAGGTGTTCTGCCGTTAAACAAATGGAGAAGTGTAAGTGTTGTGTGTCGCAATAAAATTAGAGATATACAGGGTTAGTCAATAAAAACGAAACCCAAATGTCGGGACTATTGTTTCATTGAAGTCCTGCATGTAACACTTTCAAAATCTAGGACGTGAAAGCCCAATTCATAAGCTTTTGTTTAGTACAAGAATCATTCAAATCACTTGTGTACTTTTCAAGTTACGAAGTTTTAAACACAACCACCGTTTTAAAGTTCTCTCCACGGATCACAAAATAGGTGTGCGTTCTTTCATCAAAACGAAAACAATTCACACACATCCCTATGTGATTTGTGTTCGTTTTGCTAAAAGAACACTAAACTTTTTTGTGATCCGTGGACAGAACCTTAAAACGGTGGTTGTGTTTAAAATTATATAACTTGAAAAGTACATGAGTGATTTGAATTATTCTTGTACTAAAAGAAAGCTTATGAATTGGGCTTTCATATCCGAGATTTTGAAAGTGCTACATGCAGAACTTCACTAAAACAATGGTCCCAACGTTTGGGTTTCGTGTTTTTTTTACACACCCTGTAGAGAGGCTGCTGACGAATGGATAGGCGTAAGTGTCGTTACAGCATCAAGATTTGACCACTGAGGGTAAAAGACGGCCGTGATCAAAATTTTAAAGTTAGTCAGTATAATTGTAAAGAGTGCATGTTGTCTCTTAACGTTACGCCTTTTTGCATTGGTGGTTGTGTGAAACAACATTTGAAATGTGTTTCTCTCCCCGGCAAAATGTGTTATTTATTTTTGCGTTGACTGAACATTAGTTATATAGGTATGGTAAAAAAAGGGTCTACCCGATATTTTCCAATACCTATGATCCCCAATACCGATGTTCCCCGAAATCCTTAGGATTGGGGTTTAAGGGTTAGGGTGAGGGTTAGGGTAAGGATTTGGGGGAACATCGGTATTGGAGAACATAGGTATTGGGGAACATAGGTATGCACCCGTGAAAAAGTGCATGGCGTCTGGATACTGCATATACCCAAGAAAAACACGCAGGAAACTAAAAAGGTAAAAGTCTTTCAATCTACATTTGTGGGTCGAACAAAGTCAACTGACGTGGATGGGATTCGAACCTGCGACATCCAATACCCAATATACCGGTAGTCGCAGTTATAACCCAGTTCTGGTATTTTCTAGATCGGTTTAATTCTAAAGTCAGATACTCACTATATTCACCGCATTATTATTTTACCTCAATGACGGTCAGTCATTGGAAAGAATAAAACTAGGAAAACATAAAATATTGCTACTGGGAATCATTTGCAATTTTGTCGGAAAATACTTGCAAAATGTTTCAAACTAAATTTGTCCCCGTAACGCTCAACGGTCCAGGTTTTACATGCTCGTTATTTAGGGGAAGAATAGCTGTTCGCAGACTTAACATAATTTACGCACAATGCACTGTTAATTAATGGCAGTCGAATCAACATTGTGATAACACATGACATGTAAACAAGTGGTCCAATGATTGTGTTTATTGACTCTTCAATTAATTAAGACAGGGGAAACTGTTTTTAACGATGCAAATGATGATGATTATTTACCAACCAACCTGTGTACGAAAATCCTCATAGTTTTATTAAAAATGGTGGCGAATAAGGTGTAGAACATGTAGCAGTAGAACGATTCACAAGAAGGAATATACGTCCTTCCAGTTGAACTTAAAACGAAATAAAGCTTACCTCGACCTGTTACTCTATAGAAGATGCCAAATCTACAGGTGCAACCATGGAGGACGGACGCGCAGAGTACATATATACTACAACCACACTGTTGATCGCACCGCCAACACTGTATCATAATCACTTGTTAGCCGTGAAGACCCATTCACAACAGCTATACCGACTTACCATACGGGACATTACAATGAATGGAATCAAAATCTTTGTGTCCATCTTCGCTTGAAAGCGCGGCGATCAATACACTTTCCCCCGGGCTGTCCCGTCACCCGGCTCTTGTCATTGTGCGACATTCAATAGCTGCCAATAGCATTCCATGGACATTTATAATAACAGGTTCTTTTAGTACAGATGGACACACATTTAGTGGGGTGCTGTGGTCCAATGGTTACGGTTTTCGATTTGTGTGCCGTGATACATGAGTTCCAATCCTGACCGTGGGAACATGGTGCTTGTGCTCTTAAGCAATGCACTTTACCACTATTGCTTCGTCCTTCGGATGGGACGTAAAGCCGTAGGTCCCGTGTGTTGTGTAATGCACGTTAAATAACCCAGTAACACTTATCGCTAAGAGAAGGGGTTTGCCCCGGTGTTTCTGGCAGTGGCTGCAATATGCACCGCAGCACCTTGTCAACCCTTATAAGGTGCTGCATAATGGGTCTCATATTTCTCATATACTTTATTTACCTTTCTTTGATACTAGACATAATAACTAGTGCCTTGAGCACCTAATTGTTGGTAGATACGTGTGCTATATAAGACTCCGTTATTATTATTATTCAAACATACACAACTTCTGATAGCATAGATCAATTTCGGTAGTTTCTTGTTTCAGATGAGTGGAAGAACATGCTCTTTTATAGACAGAATTCATTGGTGCATCACATATATTGATGTTTTGGGAAATTAAATTATTAATCAATGCCACTCCTGTTTGACTCACCCTGTATCGTTGCGCCAGTGGAGTTACGCCACAACGAAAGCCGGACCCAAAAGCATGGAACCTCGATGTTTGTGAGTGCTACTCGTTGTGTGCACTTTTCCTATTGGTTTTTTTTTTCTCTCAATAAGGGCAATTGTTACTGCCTGTCCCCTAAAGGTTATTATCTCTTTCATTTTCAAATCTTCATTGATGTACGGCAGTTGCTGAAACCAACCGTAACCGTGACAAATAGCAAGGTTCACCCCAGTGGTTTCACAAATCGCCAACGTAACCTTGACTGAGAATGGGACTGGTGTGGCATGAATTTGGGTTTTATGAAATACGGACTCATAATTGGTGGTATTGCGCATGCTCATGCATAGAAAAATAGGAGAGGAACCGGTCACGTGAGAGGGTTTAACCAATAAAAGGGGAAAAGAGTCCGGTTTTCATACGAGTCCGATTTTCATACGACACCGGCTTTCACTGGTGCATAACCGGGGTTTTGTTTGCCCGGTGCAGTGGCGAAAAAAGGCACTCTGCATGCTAAAAGGAAGGCAGGGCTGCCAATTGCTTTCCGTAGGCGGGATGCTCCAAAGTCATGAATAATAGTACTCGTATAGTTTCGTAGTACTCCTACGAAACGCGAACAGCGACCTCACACGGCTAGGGTACAATATGCAAATCTGTTGATGCTGGTCGAACCATCTGATTTGCATATACCTAGCCGCGTGAAGTCCCTGTATAAAACGAATGTACGTGTGAGTGCAAAAAAAAAATGGGTCCCTCAAAAAGTGGGTCAAACAAATGACGGCGTTTGGTTCGGGGCCCGCTTCAGGGCCCAACTTTTCTTTTTATTCTAGAAGCTCTGTTGTGCGATCTGAGGCAATTTCTGACCATTTTACCCAAATTTCTTTTGAGGAAAAGATGGTGGGGTACGTAGTGCCTGACTTTATTGCGACGTCACTTAAAAAACGTGTGTTTAAAAAAAAACTGGTTAGGCAAACAATATAATTTACAAAATCCACTTTTTTTTTAAACGGGACTTCAAAAGGACTTTGTTGAATATTGTTAACTTTCAAACTGAGGTTTATCGCTGGTGATGTTTGAAGACAATTGTGACGAGGATTCTTGAAATCGCATTTTTTGACGAAAGAGGTTTTCGAGTCATTGCGTTTAAAATAGTGGTGATATTCTTTGAACAGATTGAGCAGTTTCAGTCATTTTTTTCCATCTAAAAATAGCTTGTGAAATTGGCTTTTCGGTCATTATTTTTGGGTGCTATATATTTTTTTTTTCAAATAAGAAATATAATTGTTGGGGCTTGGGTTCCGCTTTTTTCCGACTCACTGGCCTGTACTAAAGTATCCGCTCCGTTCACAAGTACCCCCTCACCGGCAAAGAGAGTACAGTTGGAGGTGACCGACCGACGCCATCTTACCTGACTGCAGTTCATTTGCTGCGAAGGAACGGTGTGCGTCAATTATTACCAGCGAAATGTCCCGCCCATGAATCCTTTTTTTTCCCAAACGACATTCGCTTTCCATCTTCTGATTGGTCCATTACATACATATCTCATACCCTATTCCCGTCTTGTGAGAAATGTTCCTTCATCACACTACATATTTAAAAGGTAAAATGAGAAGAAATGAAAAACCGCTCACTGAGATTCGAACTCGGATCACCTGATTAGAGAAGTCAGGACTTCTTCCAACCAGTCCACGAATGAGCTGCCAATCGTCGGTGATTTAAACATTAATATTCCTTGTTATATAACTTATTCTCCGATTTTCCTGGACATCATGAATATGCATAACGCAGAGAGAGCGCCCTCTCTTGATATTGTCCAATCTCGTTTGGGAGAAAAAAAAAATCGCATCCCGCTCATTTGACGTCCTTCAGGGTAAAAGGGCGCCCTCTTGTCGGCGCACGGAGCCCATATACAGTAGAAAGTGCTTCACGAAACACGGAAATACCCGCCGGTTGTTCAGGCAATAAAGGTGGGTGACAGCATGACATGCGTTAATCACAACGTAATTTCGCTGGCAATTATCTACTCCTATATGATCATACGGACTGAAGAACAAACCAAGAGTAGCGGGGATGACAATCTATTATTGTTTATCATGAGATGGTAAAATAGCCGTCAATCCTACATCTTCCAAAATGAAAAAAAAAAAAAGATACTTGGTAACAGCATTTGTAATGTGATCAAGCTACATGAGTTGTTTGTCGACCCTGGTCATTTTTATTGCAGCTTTTCAAATAGCACAATCACAGCATTACTGCTCTTAAATACTCACGCAATGGCAGGGCGAACACAGTTTCACACGTACGCACTTCCAAAGAACTCTCGACTTCAGTGGCGTAGCACGGTCATTTTTATGGGGGGGGGGAATTTTGAAAAGGGCACTTGCACATCCGTGGTGAAATAATGTAGACAAGTTTTTTTTTTCTCTCCAGACACTTGGACGCCGTAAAATCAAAAGCGGGGTGGGGGGGGGGGGGGGGGGGGGGAAGGGGGGGGGGGGGGGGCTGGTACCATCTGTCGATGGGGGCGCTGTTCAAAACCGACGATTATGCACATAAACGGCCAATATATGGTGCTTTTTAGGGCGATACACGCTCTAAATTCAGTAAAAGGCACCCAAAACGGCAGATGCCACAAACAGGGCACCACTATTTTATACAAAAGGGCACTTGTTCAAAAAATGGCACTTCTTAAAAAAGGGCACTCTTTTGATTGGTCTTTAACAAATTGTTTGGGTAAGTATTTACGTTAAGTTCAACCAAAAGTTGTAGTCATACAATACCAAATTAAATTTGGTCTTGAACGACTCAAGTTTGGGTAGTTCCAGTTTTCACCCTTTCTTGGGTAAAATTAACCCAGGCAATTTTTCAGTGTTCGAATTACTCATGTACCTTTTGAGTTATGGAATTTTGAACACAAACACAGTTGAAAAACTTGTCCACGGATCACATTTATGATAGTTGATATTTCAGTAAAATGAAAGCATATCGAATCACGAAAACGATATCAGAATAACTCCATAAGACTCCGGGTAGCCAAGTAGAAGGCAGGGCAAGACTGTAAACACTTGACCTTATAAAGGATATTGTTTGAACATGGAAGCAGAAGGTGTTTAAAATGAATGTTATAAGTGACAGATATGAAGGTTTATGAGAGTGTTCTGATTTTTTTTTAAATGTGAATTGTTTTCGTTTTGCTGAAATATCACTTACCTTTATTGATCCGTGGACAAAATTATAAAACTGTGTTTTGTGTTTAAAAGCCCAGATAACTTGAAAAGTACATGAGCGATATGAACGATTGATTCTTTTACTAAAAATAGAGCCTATTAATTGGGATTTTACATCCTAGATCTTATACGAGATACATGCAGAACTTCTTAAAACAAAATAGGGCGTCATTTGGTTTACCTTTCTTTTTACTCACCCTGTATATGCCTTGGCATTAACACTTTCTATCCGAAATCGTAGGGCTCCCCAAAAAAATTCAAATTCTAAATCAAGAAATAAGATTTACACTCTGTAAAAGATTTTAATATCACTACAAAGCATACGTTCGTTTTATGGATGCGCCGAAAAACAAACAAACAAACAACCCCACACCCCAACAAACAAACAAACAATGTATCTATTATGGCATTACTTTCCAACAATTTCAAGAGCGTTTCGCTGATTACTTCCACAACTGCAGCCATTTTGGCCACAATGTCTGATTTCTACGCCGTCTTTTGTATAGACCACGTGCCATGAGACGTCATGGGTCATGCCGACAGGCAACTGAACTGCCAGGCAACCCGAAATATATGCATCTTTCGCATGTTGTTTGGCACACAGTATATGTCAACAACACTTTTAAACTATTCATATTTCAAGAGATATACATGCAGTGCAGACAAAAATAACCGTTTGGCTGAAGGTTGGCATCGAGTGACTACAATATCCATAAACAAATAGCACTTGGTCTATATACGGCCACTCTAATGAGACACTCTCATACATTAGAACACTTATTGATTTTCCCCTTCTATGTCACAGCTGTCCTTGTAGCAAATAAGAAAAACAACACCTGAATGTTCCCCGTATCTACCTATGGTCACATACGTACACAGTTTTGTCGTGGGTGTCGATTTGCGTTAACTTTGCAATAAAAAGTAGCAACCTTTTTCTTTCCAGCTCACTGATTGGTCAACAGAGGGCGCAATGGTGCGAGACAAATGATACATACATTTAAAACAAAATATAGATAATGATTAAGTACATTTTGTAATGATGTAACGCGAGTTGATCTGAGTAATTATTATGCAAACAAATATTTACTAGCTGGGGGAAATCCTTCATGATTAGAAGGGCACACATATTGTGCTTGCAAAAGTTCAAGTTATTAGGAGCCACTGAAAGCATTGTTTAAATTCAACAGTGATTTGTGTTTTGGTCACACCAACGTTTCGGCTACAACTGGTAAGTGTTCTGTATCTTCCTGACTATGCAGCGAGCTCAATCCGGTATCAGAACTGGAATCATTATCGATTCCCGTTCTCGTTTCAGGTTTCGGAGTTTCGTCCGGACTCAAGCATATGCCGCTGTCGTGACCATCGTCCAGTGTCGATTTTTCTTGATCGACAGTCTCGCGCTCTACGGTTGCAGTCTCGTGAGTTGGACTATTCGGTTCGGCCTCGATTTCGGTATCGACGTCACATGGTGTGTCCAGTAGCGAGTTGCGTTCTAAACGGTCCAGCTCCGTCACAAGGATGTCCAGCCAATGATGTTTGTCGTTATACAGAGTCTCGGCTGAGGCGAGTCTGTTGTGCATGGTCGTGATCTCCGACTTCTGCGCGATGCAAACATCGGTGTACCACTCCAGCTGCGCCCGCACCAGACCGATTTCTCGCTGGTAGTCTGCCAGATATTTCTCGTCGTCGGTTTTTAATGGAACCGTGTCGTGGTTTGCCCATTCATCGTTCGTCATCACCCGAATCCCACACTCGACATCTCCAAGTTCGGCACTTTCAACAGGCGCCAGACCGTCCATGCGTAGCAAGCGAGTGCGTTCTATTGTCTCAGTCAACGTGGCAATTGTACCTCGCTTTGCAGTGAGCTGCGATTCAACATCCAACAAGTGTTCGTATAATGAGATGTACGCTTCCAAATCGGAGCAGCCATTGGTCACCAGCTCGCATAAATTATCGTCCGTGTCCTCTGATTGGCTATTGTCGCCCCCTAACCTGGATAAATAAGCGTCCTGCACATAGTTCTTGCCCTTCTCCTCGACCCGGAGTAAATGAGCCTTGGTCTCGTAGAACTCGATTTCCACGTCAATTTCTTGAACCATTTCAAGTAGTTCCTGTAGCCGCTTACTTTGTTTCACGACAGTCTGAACCAGAGACTCCAGATCCTGCACGGGCACGCTACGATTCCGATTACCCGATTCCGAGTATCGATCCTTGCGTCGAGTACCGCCAGTCTCGACACTCTTTCGATAAGACTTGTCCTTGTCTTTAACTCGTAGTGGCCTCACGGTGCTCTTCCGGACCTTCTTGTCGGTGCCCTCAACCCGAATGGGAATGCTGCCCGATTGAGAACTAGCACCTGCTTTCTTAGTGCCTTGTCCGATCAGTTCGTCCCCGATCTCTTCAGGGCGTGGCTCCGCCGATGTGGATCTCTTCAGTGTGAACCGGACATTCTTCTGCTCGTTATCCCACGCCTTCCAGAGTTTGTACAGCCTGGTTTTGGGGCTCAGGACCCGTTCGCAACCCCGCCACCGTTCGAACAGAGAGAAGCAACGGCTGTAGCCGGGCAGGATCTCGTCCGTCTTGAGGTGGTCTCGGAGCAACAGAGTGACTACGTCCCTGCAGGTTGTCGAGCGCGCCACCCCCGTCACACGCTTCTCCCGCCCGTTGACCCAAACTGTGATTTCAGCCATGGTGGGAGTGCAGGGCGCCACCGCGGTTCCTGCTCATGCTCTTTGGCAAGTCAGTTAAATCTGAAAAGCAAAGAGAAAAGAGAACGAATGATGAGTTAACGATGTACAGGTGCACCACAAGCCCTTTGGTGACATGGTGGACACAGAAGGGCGCTTTTCGGTTGTTGACAAAATTGTGTCACATTCAACAGGATACCGCTGATTCTTTCATTGAAAATATAGGCTATTAAGTGGGAATGTTTTGCCTGTCGGGTGACGTCACAAGTGACACGGTCTAGTGTTTAACGACCCATTGGGGAGCAGCCTCACGAGATTTGCTCATTTTGCAGTTGGGATGGTGAAATTTTATCAAGTGTCGACTCTTTCGAGCGACGTGGCAAGTTAACGGGGATTTCATAGCTGTGCAAAAAGCGTGAAGCACCGCTGAGAAAGTCTTCGTGACCCAAGCAGGAAGTGACGTGCACAGCAACGATGAATTAAGACCGGTGTCGTATGAAATTTGACTCGTGAAATTTGGTGTTTTTTTTTTTATATATATATATTTTGTACTTTACATAGACTTAAATAAACCTCTTACGTGCATGAACACGTGACCTGTAATTGTCCTGATTTTGTTCTCTTACGCATGCGCAATACAACCAAAGAGTCCGTGGTTCATGTACAGTCCAAATTCCACACTACACCGGCCCATACTTCACTTGTATTATGCAAGTGAAAGTGACCTTTGCGAGCTCCGAATTCACAAAATACCCCGTCGTGAAGAAGTGAGAATTGCACAAGACCGCGTGCCTCAAGATGCGAAGCAATCACACCCACTGACCGATCAAAAAGAACAAAAGCTACTTGTGCGTAAGTTTTACTGTTACGTTTACAGTTTACCCTTGTGAAATTGCTTCACTTTCAATTCGAAGTATAAATACAACATTTGCAAACATCAAAACACGAAATGATCAAATTATCACGAAATACCTTACTGAATTGTTAGGGAATGACAGTCTTTAATAAGCATCCTGTAAAATCGTGGCTCCTGGTGTGCTAGCATTTTCAAGAAACATTGTATTTTTCCAACGCCGGTCGGCCGACCAGCGTATTTTTCATATTAAGTTATTCCGCATTTTCTTTGCAATTGATTACACACCTGTGAAGGGGTACGAGCCTGCTAGACTGGATTCTCTGACCTCACAATTCCTCAAAGTCTATAAATTGCTCCGTTTCATCTTCAGTGTAGTCAGGGAACCAAACTCCAAGAACATGATTGGTTTTCTTGGTTTTTCCAGCATCTACCAGCCCAAAAGGCGAAACAAGTCAGTTTAACAATATTTTCTATAACATACTAATCCTCTAAATCCGATTATTTCTGAAAATTGCAGCAAAAGCAAATGTTGTACATTCCCTTTAACAATTTAACATTAAAATATGACCGTTAACAGTGAGCTATTTCACCCGATAATCTCGATTTCGTTTACTGCCCGCGGAAAGAGGTCTGATGATGGCCGAATACAAATGGCTGCATTGTGTACGAACCAATCGAATGCGCGGGTTAAATTTCAGTTTTAAGTATACAAATTGTTGCCATAGTTATACGAGGTTCACCGAAAGGGCAAACATCGACCACACACCAGAAAAAGGTCACGATCACATCAAGTCATGGCATCAACCTGTAATATACATAAATTCCACAATGATTATCGCGATCGCTTGATGGCATTAAGGTGCCTCATTGAGGTTTGTACGAGGTTCAAGTTGATGACGAACTGGAACTTATCGTTTTTGAAAATAACAGAGCCTGTTCAATCGTTAAAGGTATTAAAAAAACCGCACCTCTTGAAAGTTTGGGTAAATAAGCAAACATAACTGAAGAAATTTATGGTTGGTGGGTTGCGATAGTGTCGGCAAATGGGTGATATTTATGTAAGCACTCTGGTTTATTTACAGATTAAATTGACACAGTGGGTTGTAACATTTGTCATTTTCATCCTGCCGCCGGCCACAGAGAGTCGATCGGGCATAATAAAGTTGCATAAAGCTTATGCGTTGCAACAATCTCAAAAGGTGTTCTTTTTTTATAGTTACAATGACTGCTCAAAAGATTTCACTCCTGACCTCCCAGCTTTGCAGACCAGTAAATAAACTGCCATAGACCCCATGAGAAAAACACCCACTTCCAAAAATCAGGAAAAAATACTCACAACTGTCCTAGGTGTTTGAGACACATATCAATTTAAAGTTTATTCATCATCTTTCATTTTCTGTTAATTTCGTTGGGGCGTAATCCGATGACTTTTGGGAGAAATTTTCATCCAAAGACGATGACCCCAGCCCATCGCCATTTTGAAAAATTATGCTTACGCTCCGTTGCATGCAAAATACAGCAATTTTAGGGCCCAATTTTGTCCAAATTTCACAAAAATACAAGCTCACAAATCCTGTTTTACAAACCCTCAACTTGAAGTTCATGGCCCACAAAATGCTCACAAAAGCACAAAATTTGAGGGCATGCAAATCGTGATTTGGCCGGCGAAGGCAATTTCGGGGCTATTTACCGGTCTGCACCCTTACCACTTTGTATACATACACAGGTCAGCAGTAGACTTTGGATTTTCGACCCGGGTGTAGCCTGGCAATCCCTGGTCCGACCAGGATTGGATTTTACCCGGGTAGAACGCCTTGTCCATATGTAAAAGCCGTGTGAAAGGGGTTCCGGAAATCGTGTTGGACCCGGGTAAAAAAAAAAATGGTGGATTTTTATGTTTTGTGTATCAGATTAAAGCCGAGAGCTTTTTTTTTCCAATACTGAAAAAAAAATCATAAAAATAGCACTTTGGGTTGCTGAGAAAATGCCAATTATTCGCATGAACACATTTTTAGGGGTGGTCCTTGGTGCAAGTACAAATTGATTATATTTGAAAGTGATCCGGATCTGGGTCTGGATCCAGGATATTTTTTTTAAGGATTCTTCGCCTTTTGTGCGAGTGTTTCTTTGGGTGACATGTACTGACAATATGGCGGGAAATAACTTGTTCAGCCTTGGCTTTCTAGTTTTCAGGACCAATGTTGTGGTTTCTCTGTTTTAATAATTTTGCGTAAATTACATCCACACTTTGTTTTTAGATGAACTGATATTCTTTTTGTTTACACTTCCGATTGTTTAGGGGGGAGGGCTTCAAACCACTGATCTACTTTTTCTCATAAAGCAGTTCATGGTTGAACAGGTTCACAGATCAACATTTCATACCCGACACCCTGTTACTTGCTCGTAAAAATTATCATCACGTTTGGAAAGCAATACACAATCTGAACAGCTATAAAGTCTGTATTTACATATCCAGTCTGTATTTACATAATTATATCGTCAGGCAAGGACCGCGAGGTCAGTTCTACAGTAGATTTATGAACTGGCAACACCGCGTCCCGAGTCAGATTCGACCTGACATTTTTCTCGGGTCAAAATGTCACTTTTCTGAGACGCTTTTTTCCCGGGGCCATTTAACACGGAAAAATGCCATTTTACCACGACAATTGTCATGTTGACGCAGAGAGTTGAGTAAAGTAAAAAAAAAAAATCAATGTGGTGTTTATATAGCGCCTTATTTCTTCTAAGGTCTGAAAGCGCTTTACGATTATTTTCCCTGTTCATCAGGAAAGAGACCATTTTGTCTGCAGCAGCTCGAGATCAGTGCAATTTGGTATGTACCTTCACAGGTACCCATTTATGCTCCTGGGTGGAGAGAGGCAATCGTATTTAAGTGTCTTGCCCAAGAACACAAGCACCATGTTTCCCGCTTGGGTTCGAACCCACGTAACACGGCACATAAATTGAACACTGTAACCAATTGTACAAGGAATCAACTTGGGTCGAAAGAAAACTGTCATTATGACCCAGATATATGACTTCGGCAGGTCAAATCTGAGTCAGATTCGGGGTCGAGGAAAACGGCTTGACGAGTACATTTCCAAGTACGTAAAGATCCATACGTAATGGTGGTGCTGATGCAGGGAGAGAAATTTGCTTTACACATCATTTTATTTGAGCGCAAAGTCTGTCACGTGCCAATGTGGCCCATCAGGCCGGCGTTATCTCCGGTTTCAGTAGCATGAAACGAATCTGGATGGGATGCTAGTCCATCGCAGGTTATTTAATCCCCAGCTTTTGCCGGTACCCATTTATTCTCCTTGGTGGAGAGAGGCAAGTGGGGACACAGCGTATGGCCAGCAGCAGGATTCGAACCCATGACCCTCTGATCATGAGTCACAAACCCTAACCACTAGGCCACACTCCCCAATTTGAGCGCATACCTGACAATAATTCTATTTGTGTAATAATAGATTCTTACTGTGGTCAGAACCGTTGGATTTTTACACAGGTGTTAGGCATCTACGCACTCTCACTGACACCCCCTGCTGGTGAAGTTAACGAGATTCAATGTGTTGTGCCACTAGGGAAATATATGGAACACGATGTTTAGAAATGACTGCCTCGTAAAGGCCTATGTTTGAACATGGAGCTGTTAAACACAGCTCCATGGTTTCAATTACCACAGAACATGTTGAGGACACAGCAAGATAATTCTTCAGTCAATATTTGTTGGTCATAGAAGGGTTTCTCTTTCAAGGGCGGGTTTCTAAGCAAAAGATGGCAGGGTAAAAAAAGACATTCGTCAACGGCCGCCTATGAAACGTAATCCAATTATCCAGCATCCACAATTTTTCAAGAATTGCGCAACAGTTGGAGACAGTTTCTTTTTATTGCCCGATTTTTACGGGATACGTAGACTCTAGAGGTAGAGCGTTTGATCTGTTTGCTCTTTGATCAGGTTAATAGCTTCCAGTATTATAAAGTGGAAACACAGCCCAGATTTGAAATCGGGGAACACAATTAACGGATAGGCCTATGAAGTTAGCATACATGTGTCTCACAATAAGGAGGAAGTCCAGTAGTCTTCTACTTTAATAAGACACATTTATGGGGCTATATCACGTCCATTGGTTGGTTAATATTATTATGAAAAAAAAAACCGACTTCAAGAAGCATGGGAAGGCGTTGTTCTTCATTT